CATTGTACATATTTTTACCAACAAATCACTTTTAAAAATCAAACCAAAAATAAAAAAATCTTTCCAGATCGTCCAGAAGAATCCCCACTATCACGGTACAGGCGGCTACCAAACAGTCGAATGGTTCCCCTACACAGATCCCAACAATCTAATTCTCATCAAAGCCTGGGAGGAAATCGGCTACAACAACATTGACGCCAACGCCGCAAAACAACTCGGTGTCCTAAAACTACAAAGCACCTCAATCCACGGCCTCCGCCAAAGTACAAACGGTGCCTTCATTCGACCAATACGGAAAAAACGTCCCAATCTCATTATCAAAACTCAAGCACACGTGACCCGAGTGATAATCGATCCAAAAACAAAGCAAGCCACAGGTGTCGAGTACATGGACACAGTGACCGGCTTCACCAAAGTCGCCATGGCCAACAAAGAAGTCATCCTATCAGCCGGTAGCATAAACTCACCAAAAATCCTCAAACTCTCAGGTATTGGTCCCGCTGACGAACTCAAGAAACACGGAATCAACGTCATCTACGATTCTCCAGTTGGCTACAATCTCCAAGATCATGTCACAATGGACGGATTGGTGATCGACATAAACAACCGATCAATGACCAATCAGGAGCAAATGCAAAACGATGTTTACGAATTTCTAGAGACCCACAATGGTCCCCTAGCGTCTACAGCACCAGCCCAAGTCGGTGCATTCGTTCAAACGAAATACGAAATAAGTTTCAAGGCACCGGACATTCAGTACACATTCGATGGTAACAATATTCGTGATTTCCTCTCCAATGACATGGCTGCCGAGATAAAAGCCACTCCCCTGGCTTATTACGATTCGATAAATGTCAAACCAATATTACTCTATCCGAGAAGTCGGGGATTCATTCTGTTGAACAACACGGATCCTATTTGGGGTCCGCCGCTCATCTATCCGCGACATTATACAGAAATGCCGGATTTGAATATTATGATTGAAGGCATTCGGATAGCACAACGATTGTTTAAGACGAATGTGTTTTTCGAACATGGTTGGCGAATGATTGACGTTCCTCTGAAACCTTGTCGACAGCACACTTTCGATAGTGACGACTATTGGGGTTGTATTTTGATGGAATACACGGCGACGATATTCCATCCGACGAGTACTTGTAAAATGGGACCGAAGGAGGATTCGGAAGCTGTTGTAGATCCAAGATTGAGGGTTTATGGCGTCAGTAGACTTCGGGTTGTCGATGCGTCTATTATGCCGATAATTGTTCGTGGAAATACGAATGCACCGACGATTATGATTGCCGAGAAGGCGAGCGATATGATTAAGGAAGATTGGCATGGTAGTTGATGATAGATTTATTAGAGAAATTCGTACGTTAATAATTTAAGGTAAAAAAGAAATGTTCATGGATGAATACTGTCATACAGAGTAAGAAAAGTCTAGGCTGAGAGAAGTACGGGACTTCAGAAGTTCAGGTAGTTGTTGCTCTGGGTTTTCTGCTAGTGGAGCTATAGCTTTTTTTTGTTTGGGTGATCTAACGTCCTTAATGCTACGTTCCAAACTGTAAACTGTCTGTTTTATGGCTTAAAGAACAGAAATTTACTACACTTTTTTGATGTTCCTCAATTAAGCATCAACCCTCAGCGTCGAAAAAATTTTTTTTTCGCTAAAAGAATAAAATAATGTTTCTGAGGTTTTAGGTTAAAAAGTCCCTTGATTTCCCTAGGGAAGTAAAAGAGGTGAAATCAGTGACATTTTCATCCCTAAAAAGCCTAAAAATTAATTTTCGATGCTAACTTTAAGAACACCTTTTTTGGGAAGTCTGAAGTCCAGTGATTCTTTCAGTCTACAACTTTTATTTGCTTTTAGATTGATTTTCGCTTGTACTGCTGTGGGAAAAACAATCTTTAAGCGAATGTTCCGGAATTTTTGTTACTTAGAATGGCGGAATAGATTATTTAATTTTCTAACAGCATGGCGAAAAACGAAAACTTATTTTGCTATTAATAAAAAAGCGTCTTTTAGCTCTCATCTACATTTTCAAATGTATCTTCTAGGCTCCTGCAGTTATTTTAAAACTGTTCAAAAAAAAAAAATTGTTTTAAAAAGAAAAAAAAACATTTTTTACGATTGTTTCTAAAAAAATTTAAAGTCTCTGAAGTTAGCGTCGACTAAGCGTTAAAAAGCACTTTTTTTTCGAGGGCGAAACCGATAAATTGACAATTTTAGAATTCCAATTTAACAATTTTAGAATTGTTTTTTTAGAAAACAGCAAAATTTGTGCTATTTTCAGTTTTAAAAACCGCAAAATATAGTTTTTAACGCTGATCGTCGACGCTAACTTCAAGGACCAAAATATTTAGCTCAAAAAGTACTCTAATAAATTTCAAAACTGTGGGTAAATAAAATCAGTGTCAACAGTGACATTTTTATCCCTAAAATTAGTTTTCTAGGCAAACAGATTTCTAATTTCCTTCTAAAAACAATTATTTATTCTTACGATTCGGTCAAAACTTTTGTAAACTGTAAAATAAGACCATTTTTTTCTATTTCAAAACAATATTATTCAGGCGAAAAATAATTTTTATAAAATAATATAATTTTATTTATAAAAAAAACAAGGTAAAAACTTTGTTTTTACTTGGAAAATTTTTCTTTTTAAAATAGTTTTGTAAATTTTATAAAAAAAATGTTCAGAACAAAATTTATAAAAAATTTGTTTAGAAAAATATTGGTTTCTAAATTAATAAATATTGTGAACTTGAAAAAGTTTGGTTACACAGAAAAAGCAGAAATTGCTAACGATTACAACAATTTTGTTAATAAATTTTTGTAAATAAATGATAAAAAATAATTTTTAACACGAAGATGAAAAATAAAATTTGCAGAAAAAATTGTCTATTTTTGCAAAAATTAGGATTTGGATGTAAAAATAAAGATTTTTCGCCATGTAGAACAGAAAAATATCGACGAAGAATTACATTTGTAAATTCCACTAATTAATATACATATGTAAAAAATGTGACATAGTTTAATCAACTTAGCACTGTGCACAATAATTTATAAAAAATTAAATGGAATAAAGTGCACAACTTTTATTTTTATTACAGATTTATATATTTATGTAATTATTATTAACTATTAACGTATAAATAAATTATTTAATTAATTATGCAAATTATATTCATAATGATTAATTTAATATTTCCCTGATTGACTTCTTAATTTTTACTTTTTGTTTTCATATTGTTTTTACTAAATATTAATAGTTGTTAAGTTATTAAATAATAATAATATTATTATCCTATAAGTAAATAATAAATGAAAAAAATGACTGAAAAAAATATTAATTGTTACTAATGAAAAATTATTGTTAGTGATAATCAATAGTTATTAATAGTAAGTTATTTATTTCTATTATTAATTAAATAATAGGAGAAAAAAAGAAAATATTTATAGTTACTAATAATAAATTATTAATACTAATAATTATGAGTAATTATTTATTATTATTAAATAAATGATTTCCAAACAGATATTTCAACTGAAAAAAATGTTTTCTTGAAAATAAATTTGAAAAAGCAATTTAAAATTCTATGAGCTTAAAATCTACGCAAATTCTACATTTTTATTTGAAAACACAAATTCCTTGTTTAGTGCCTGAAGCTAAGACGAAAGATGAAGCTTTGAGCAGACATTTATTTTCTTATTTAACTTTAAAAATAGGTCGTATTGTTAAATGTATTTAAATATATTCCGAAGAAATCGTCGCATACGCCAAAGGGGATTTTATGATGTAATTTTTTGCGATAGCAATATTGAAAGCTATAAAAGTACATTTCGCTTTCTAAAGCACGACTATAAAATAGAATTAAAAAATTTTTTTTTTTTGGCAACAAATGTCACACACGTTACGTCAATATTTGCAAAAATTGGCCTTATCCAAAATTTTTATACCTAAAACTCTTTATTATCCATCAAAAATATTATTCGAATTCAGGAATTCAGTCATTTAAATTTAAAAATTAATAATAATTTATTTATTCAAAAATTTTTAGAGTTTTCACTTTTTGAAAAATATATTTTATTGTTGGTAAAGTTTATTTATTTTTTAAATAAATACTATATGTTTTTGTACTACTAATATAACTAAATACAAATAGTATTAATTTTATATTTTTACTTAATTTATTATTAGTAGCAGTCTTAAATAAATAATAATAAATATTAAATAAATACAAATCAAATTTCTTGTTTAGATAAATAAAGCTTAGAAGGAAATTACGATACAAAAGAAAAGACTCCTTTCTATATGCAACTTTTGATACACTCGTGTATTACACCAAAGTCTTTTTCATGCCCATAAAAAACAACCTATTTACTTATAATTATATAAATAATAATCAATTTATCTTTTTTCCAATATTAAAAGGAGTTTTTTATTTCTAGGATTAATGGCTCACATTTTTTTTTTTGAAAATTAGAATAAAAAGAAGGTGTTTAAATTAAATTTCATCTTATACTCTGTCATTATGATACTAATTTATCATGTTTACGACTATATTTACCGTATAGTGTTAGATTCAAATTATTTGTAATTGATATAATTGATGCGATTAAACTTTTTTTTTCAAAATGACATTAATAGTAATAAAGAAGATGTATTATTAATTATTAATAATATTAATTTTAGGTTTCATATTATTTAATTAATAATTTATTTCAATAAATACTCCAATTTTTTCACAATCTATTCGCTCAGATTACAAAATATACAAAAATTCAAATTACATATTTTTTTATATTTTCTTTCTTTCTTTTTTTTCATATTTTCTTTATTTTTGTTATATGTCTTTATTTCTTCTTATTCTTTTTTTTATTCAAGTATATTACATTATTCAAGTTTTCAATTTTTTGTTTGTAATAATTGCGCTTTATTCATTAATTTTTTTATGTTTTAATTTCAATCTATTAAAATCGTAAAAAATTGTAACTATCATCATATAACTATTAATAAATAAATATTTATTCATAGCAAATAAATTTTTTACTTAAATCAAAAAAAATGTTTTTGCTTCAAATGCATAAATAATCGTTTCGAAAAAGGTTTATTTGATTTAAATAAAAAATTATTCAGTTGAAATAAATATTTATTTAAATAACTAATAGTCAAGTAAATTGATTATAAAAAACCGGTTTCACCCCATCTTTGTTCCAAAAGCCAAAAGTTCCAATAGTTCTTTGTTCCGGAAACCAAAAAGTCTAATAATTCTTATTTACAAATTTTACTAAAAAGTCCAACATTCTTTTCAAATTTAAACTTGAAATTTAGAAACTTTTTCATCACTTCTAAGAATTACGAGAAACAAAATGGCGGCGGACAAAAAAACAGCTGATCCACTTGAAATTTTATAATTCGTCTAAATTCCAAATTTAACGGAATAATAAAGTTAAATAATTTTATTTTCAAAATTGGGACTTATTTATATTGGAACACACTTAATTTGAAACTTTTCCACATTGGAACTTTTGTAAATTGGACATTTTGTATATTGGAACTTTTGTCCTACAATAAAATTAACAATAGTAAAAGTAAAAAAAAATTAACTAAAATACAATAAAAAGGAAAGAAAAAAAATTTAATCTCCCAACCAATCTTCCTTGATCATATCAGCAGCCTTCTCGGCAATCATCATCGTGGGTGCCATGATATTACCCCGAGGTATAACCGGCATTATCGAAGCGTCGACAACTCTCAATCTCCTAATTCCATAAACCCTCAATCTCGAATCAACAATAGCCTTTTCATCATCTTCAGGTCCCATTTTACAAGTACCCACCGCATGTGCCCCGACTCCCGTATGCGATCTCAACATACAAACCCAGTACTCATCACTATTAAACTCCAAATTATTACAAGGCGCCTGAGGAACATCATAAAGCTTATAATTATTCTGCGCAAAAATATTGCCCTTGAACACTTTCAATCCCTTTCTTGTTGCCTCTATCATTCTTGCCACATCGGCATCATTAGACAAGTAACCTGGATAAATCAACGGCGCTCCCCAAACAGGATCAGTTTCATTCAATTTCAAGAATCCCCTACTCTTCGGTGCAAGCAGAATTGGATAAAAATTAACAGCATCATAGTAAGCCAGAACGGATGATAGTGTCTTATCGGCAAATTTCATTCCAGTGAAACTCAACTGTACATCTGGTGCATAATAACTTTCTTCGAGTTCCGTTTGTGCGAAGGCAACGACTGATGATATTCCAGTAGCCGACAGGGGACCACTATGCGATTTTTGGTACAGCTCAAGATCCAATTTCTTTCGTTCGAATGTTGTCTCGGTGCTTGTACTATTACTCAACAGGGCATAAATACCGGAGAATTGTAAATGATCCTGTAGATTTGAGCCCACTGTTGCGTTACGAATCAATTGGATGTTGTGCTTTTGAAGTTCGTCAGCTGGTCCTATTCCCGAGACCATTAGAAGTTGTGCTGATTTTATTGTTCCGGCTGAGGATATGACTTCTTTTTTTGCCCTCGCTGTGAGTTTGGTATTATTTTGCGATGTCAGAGTGTATTCGACGCCGGATGCTAGTCGAGTGGCTGGATCGATGATGATTCTAGTCACGTAGGCTTCGGTTTCGATGAATAAATTCGGACGATTCTTTCTTATTGGTCGAATGAATGCATTATTTGTACTCTGTCTTTGTCCGTTAAATGACGTCGTTTGGAGGATCATTGATCCTAATTGTCTGTAACCGTTTACGTCTGTGGATTCATAGCCAGCGTGTCTCAGCGCTCGTCGGATGATATTCACATTTTTGTCGGCGTACGGAAAACGTTGTACTGATTGGTAGCCACTTGTTCCATGATAGCCGTAATTGTCGTAAACGATCTAGTGAGGAAAAAATTGTTTCTTTTCAAAAATTGCTTCTTTTCAAAAATCGTTTCTTTTAGACTAAATTTTTCTTGATGGGAATCATCATTACGGAGAATTGTAATATTAGGTATAGATTTTATCAGATATATTACCTCTCGATCTCGATTTCTTTCCGACTTTTTGAAATAGTGTAAAACATCTTTGTAGCTCCATTCACTATTGCCTAAATCGTGCCAATTGTCATAGTCTTCACGATTACCTCGCACGTACAACATTCCATTTATCGAACTAGATCCACCCATTACCTAATTATTAATTTATTTAGAAATATTTTACTTTTTAATTTAAATTTTTTGGTTTTTAACTTCATGTGATTGTTCAATTGTAAAGTGTCAATTGTTTTACTTATTTTTCTACTAAAAATTAGTCAATTAGTTACTTTTAAGTAATTCAGATTTAGAGAAGATTTATTAAAATATTAAGAATATTTACTTTTCCACTGGGAAAACGGCAACCATTGCTCGCTAAGCAGGCATTTTTCTCTGGTTGTGTCTTAAAATTCCAGTCAATATTCGACTTTTGAAGTAATCGCATAAAAGAGGGGACTTTCGTTATATTTGGTTCCTCCATACCAGCCTCTATTAAAAGCACCTAAGAAGGTTTTCGAGAAAAATTTATAAATTTAAAATACATTACTCAAACACAATTTCTTTGGTTTGAATAAAAATTATTTGCTTCAAGTATAAATATTTATTTGATAGCAGACAAATAATCAGTTATTTGAATTAAATAAAATTTTTTCCAGTATTTATATTTACGTACATTCCACTCTCGAATTTCTGTCAATCGATTAGCGAGAACACAGCCGGCAGTACCACCTCCGACAATAATAAAATCATATTCTGTAGGTCTTGGATTTGGATTCGAAGGGGGTTCAACATTACTTTTTGTGGCGTACAAACTAAAGACAAGTTGAAGGAAAAGTAATGAATTTGGTTGACAAATTGAAGCTGTACTTGAATTTGTGCACATTTGCGTTAAATTACCAGGAACCCACGACATTGTTTATAATTATTCTAAAACACAACATATTAAATTCAAAATATCTCCACAATTTCAAAATTATTTTCACAATGTAAGATTTAAATAAATAAAAATCTCAATTAAAAATTTAAAAAAGACAATAATTTTATTTCACAATTTTAAATTAACAATGAAGCTGAAAGTCTGCAACGTTTTTAAAGATTGAAGAAACTTTTTTCCAAATTATTTCATCTTTAATTTTGATCTGCATAAATTTTTAAAAAATCTAATTTTTTCTTAAAAGATAATTATCACTCTCTAAATTTGAAATAGTAAAAATGTTTATTACTAATTTGAATTAATGACTTTTTGCCTTTTGAATTAGTAAACTTTACTAATAAATAGTCATTTCTATTAATGTATTAGTGAAATTGACTAATAAATAGCATCTTCTACTATTTAGTAAATTTTACTAACGAATAGTAATGTCTACTAATTTATTAGTTAAATTTATTAATTCAAAAGCAAAAAATCAGTAACTACTTCTAATTAGTAACCATTTTTACTAATTAAAGTTTAAAGCTAAAATAAGAAATATCGTCTGATAATTTTTTCACTTTCGTTTTCAAAAACGTAGCAGCCTTCAGTTTCATAATATTAACTAAATGATTTAAAAAATAAATTATCCAAAAAATTGAAAAATAACAAAATTCGTAGAAAAAGAAAAAGGAAAGAAATAAAAAACTATTCATAAAACAAAAGAACTAAAAATTGTTTTCCTTTCCTTTAAAATTTAATTTTCCCCAGAAAATCTCTATAATTATAATATTCCAAAAACTATATTTTTAATAATTATAAAATTAAATGCGAAGAAAAAAATTTCTGTACCTTATATACCACGAACGAAATATATACTTTCAAAAAAACAAAGTCACAAACTAAACGACTACTTAAAAGTATAGAAATTAAATATATTTTACACTTTACTTTTTTTGTCTTTAAGAAAATATAATCTGAAGTAAGAAACTGCTCGACTCTACTATATATATGCTTCAAATGTCTTCCCGTGATTGTGGGTAGGATTTTATCTCTTCATTGTTGTTTATGCGTAAATAAATTTAAGAAAAAAAAATATTAACTATTTGCGTGTCGAAAAACCTTTTTTTTCCTGATCATATGTATAAAAGATTATAAGGCACACACTTCCTTCATTATTATCTTCTTCATTAATGTGAAGCATTTCATTTCATTTAATTTTAAGCTTAAACTTTAAGAAAACGTTTATTTATTAGAAGGAAAAGTCATTAAGGAAAATACATACATTTTCCTTAAAAAAATATTTGCGATACAAAATTTGTATAATGGCGACATTCATGATGTTTAGTAATCATTTATATTTTAGTGTACTATAATTATTAATTAATATAATCTATAATAATAAATATAATATTTATATAATAATACCTAAAATAATAAAAAATATAAAATCTTTAAAAATTTTAAATTAGTATTCTTAGTTTGCTTTTTTTATTTCCTAATTTTTTTGACAATCTTTTTTTTTAAATTGTCTTAAATTTTTAAATTAAGAAAATAATAAAATTCGGATCCCCGCCTTAAAATTCTAATTCAAATTTATGGAGAATAAAAAATATAATATATATAATATATGTGTATAATAATATATATAATAATTTGCAATAAAAAATATTAAATGACAATAATGTAGAAAAATTTGAATATTATTACTAAATAGTATAGGATTTGTACCCTAATTATGTTAATTTTATTGTAAATAGCGTGTAAAATATGATGTAAATAATTGTTGTACTCTATGGAAACATATAAATGTAAAACGATATAAGAATACATAATAAGAATTGAAGCGTCTACTTTCTGTTAATCGTTGAGAATCACCACGATCGAGAATTAATTAAACAGGTTTCCATTCATAGTCGAATGAACTTTTATATATAAATATATAATGTATTAATAAGCAAATAAGTTGTAACTAATTAGACACTAGTATCACCAACAACTGCTTTCGTAATCTTCTAATAAAAATCAAATTTCCTATAAAAGAAAGTTATTTTCAAAACCGCACTAAAAATCTCTTTTCTTATTGAAAAGAAACAAAAGAAAATGGAAAAGAACAGAAAATATGAATAGAAAAAATAAAAATTTTTTAAAATAAAAATAGAAAAAGTAGAAAAAAATATAAAATGGAAAAGAATAGAAAATATAAATAGAAAAAAAATAAAAAATAGAAAAATAAAAATAGAAAACATAGAAAAATAGAAAATAGAAAATAGAAAATAGAAAGAATAGAAAAATAGAAAATAGAAAAATAAAAATAGAAAAAATAGAACAAATAGAAAAATAAAAATACAAAATAGAAAAAATAGAAAAAATAGAAAAATAGTAAAATAGAAAATAGAAAAATGAAAATAGAAAAAATAAAAAATAGAGAAAGAATAGAAAAATGGAAAATAGAAAAATAAAAAAAGAACAAATAGAAAAATAGAAAAAATAGAAAAATAGAAAATAGAAAAATAGAAAGAATAGAAAAATAGAAAGAATGGAAAAATAGAAAATAGAAAAATAAAAATAGAAAAAATAGAACAAATAGAAAAATAAAAATACAAAATAGAAAAAATAGAAAAATAGTAAAATAGAAAATAGAAAAATGAAAATAGAAAAAATAAAAAAAGAACAAATAGAAAAATAGAAAAAATAGAAAAATAGAAAATAGAAAAAAAGAAAATAGAAATAGAAAAATAAAAATAGAAAAAATCAATTCAATTATATTATATCAATAGAGAGAGAGAGAGAGAGAGAGAGAGAGAGAGAGAGAGAGAACTTTGTCTTTCTACATTCTCCCAAAAAGTAGAATGTAAACTTTAAAAAAGCAATCATTAATAAATTTAATTGGAAAATGACTGTTTTGAACAAATTAAAAAAAACTCTCTATTTCAAAATCGTTATAAATATTTTATTCTCACCAAAAAAATGTGTACTTTTTTGTTTGTATTTCAAAATTAAAAAATACAAACTTGTCATTTTTTTTTATTATTTTCTAAAATTTTTTAGAATTTTTTTTTTTCAGAGAGAATCAAATATTATTTGTTCCAATACTAAAATTAATGTTTTAAATATAATTTATTGATTTGAAGAAAACATTTTTCTTTTTCAAATAAATATTTATTCTTTTTGAATTTGAATTAGTAAAAATGTTTACTTACTTGAATTACTGACTGACTTTTTGCTTTCAAATTAGTAACTTTTACCAAAAAAATAGTAATTTCTAATAATTTATTAGTAAAATTTACTAACTCGAAAGCAAAAAGTCATTAAATTATATGAAAATTATAGCTTTTAATTTTTTATTACTTTTATTTTTAAACATTCTTAAATAAAAATATTTTTGATTGGAGAATATCGTTTTTCGATTGTACCATATAAAAAATATACACATGCCTACGCGTTTTATAAATGATAGCACACTTTAATGTTGATGACGAGCCAGGAGAAAGAACTAACGAAATTGATTACATTAAATTCCTCACTGATTACTAATGGACCAATAATTTTTCCACACTACAATATTTACGACTATTAAAAACATTAATATTATCACTTTCTACTTAAATAAAAATTTTTATTTCTAAAAAATTAAAAAAATTTTAATTTAAAAAATTTTTTTTCTAAATTTATTTAAAATTTATAATTAAATTTATACTAAAAAAAATTTTTTTTTGTCAAATTGAAATTATGCAGTTTTTTTTTTCTTTACTTCTAAGCAAAATTAGAAAATTGTTAAACAACTGTGATTAAAAAATAGAAAATTTATTTATATTTTGCATTATTTTTCTTTATGAATCACAATTTTTTTAACAAAATTATTATTTTGTTTTAGAAAAAGAAGAAAAATATTTGCACAATTTTTATTTTTAATCTTATTTTTGGAACAGGATTTTCCACAGGAATTAAGACATTCAAAAATTTTGAATTCAAACCTTTTTTTAATTAAACAACTTATAAAAGTATTTCTTCATGTTTTATAATAATTAAAAATGACCAAGTAATAAAATCATTATTTTATATTATAAGAATATTGTTACTGTAACTTCATTAAAATTATTTTCATCATTTTAATTCAATTATTATTTTCTAGAATTTTAAATTATTTTTTATGAAAATAATTGAATTCTTTTTGTAAAATTTTATTAAAATAGTTTAGTTTTTTTATTAGAAAAATGCATTTTTAATTTTTGAAAATAATTGAAATTAGGACAAGAATTTTTTTTGACATTTATGAAGATAATTGAACTTTGGAGAAGAATTTTGTTATTTATAAAGATAATTGAATGTTATAAGAAGAATTTTATTTTTTTTTTTTTGTGAAAACAATTGAATTTCTGCAATTATTTGTAATTTCTCGAAAATTGAATTATTTTAGTGTTTTCAACAAAAATTTAAATTGGAAAATTTTTAAATTCTATTATTTTTAAAATTGCTAATTTTGTTTTAATAAACTTACACGTGAGAAAAATTATCTAATTAAAAACAAAATAAAATTAATTTATAAAAATAAATTCGCAGGTCAAAATGAAAATGAAAATTGAAAATTAAAAATGAAAATTAAAATTGACAATTAAAAATAAAAGATAAAAATAAAAATTGAAAATAAAAAATTAAAATTAAAATTAAAATTAATAATAAAAATTAGAAGTAAAGAAAACTAAATTTTGCAACCGAAAAATCCGCTTGAATTATGGAAATTATAATAATATACAAGAATTAACATACGTGAACTTAAATATAAAATACAAAATTTAAGAGGCGAGAGAGGAATGAAATAAAAATTGACAATTAAGAATATGTTTATAGAACCGCAAAATATGCAAATTGAAACTAGTAGACGATTATTGAAGCAACCCTTCACGACCTAGTGAACATATGCAATTATGACATGGGTTTTTCTGAGATTTGGAGAGAGGTGGTAGTGATATACGGCTTATACGTTCAACTTAATGTTCTCAAGTCTCAGTCTTTCGCTTTCTCCAGTTCCAGGAGCTACATAATCGTTTTATAGTGTCGTCACGTGACTATATTTTCAAATTTGGAACCTTTCGTCGGTAAGTCCACAATATTCCTATTTTTTTCACATTCAATAATTTTCGCATCAGTTTACGAAACAATTAATTAAACCTATTTTTTTTAAATTCAAGTTAAAAAAATACAACTTAAAATTAAAATCAAAAAAATTTTTAAATTCACTATTATGTAGAATTTGTACAATTTCGGAAATATTTACCCGACTTCGATACACAATTGTGTTATTAAAATTAATTTGTCTTTCAATTTATGACAAAAGTTTCATTATCGGTGTTGTTTACCTTTTTTTTCTCTCTCACAATTATTCGGAATAGTTTGAATAGTCCATTATTTAATATTGAGAGAAAAAAATAAATTTTATAAACGATTGCAAAAAATATTTGTTTGCACAAATCCATCGGGAAAAGTGATAAATTCGGATATTTTCATTCACGAATTTTCAAATTACTGCGAGAGTGCAATTTTCGACTATGATATTTTTATATTATTTAAAAATTAATTATAATAATTATACATTAATTAAATATTCAAATTAAAGTGTATTATTAATTTTGCATCAATTAAATTAAAATTGAATATTAATTGCACAATGAAAAAAAAAGTTTTCTTGATTCAAATAATCGATTACTTGTCTGTTATCAAATAAATATTTTTTCGTATCGAACAATTTTTATTAAAATTTTTATTAAAATTATTTTTATTTAAATTAAATGGTTTTGCTTCATATACTAAAATTATTCGAATACAATTTGTCAAATACAATTTATTTAATTACGATAATAATTATTTTATTCAAATAAATAATTGATTTAAATAAAATTAATTGATTCAAGTAAATAAAACTTTTTCGATTCGGACCTAATTTTCTATTCAAATATCTTAGAAATAAATAAAAAGTGCATCAAATATTTAATAAAATTATTTCAATAAAAGAAGATTTTTCGAATTTTAAACAAAATTATATTAAATAAATTTTACACCAAATTTAAAATAAATTTCAATTGAAAAAATACAGTAAAAATTAACTCTAATTAAAAAAATACAATAAAAATTAATTCTAAATAAAAAAATACAGTAAAAATTGCCTGTAAATAATAAATAAAATAAATAACAATTCGGAAAAATTGTTTATAAAATGGAATTAAATAGAAAAAGGAAAATAGAAATAAACCAAATGTATAAGTAAAATATTTTTAATTATTAAAAACTACTTTGCAATTTATAAATAAATAAAAAAAAATACATTACAAAATTTTCAATTATCCATTTTTTATAAATTTTCTTTTTTCAATAAACTATCAGTTATTTGTGCAATATAATTTTATTTTCCTTTAAAGATTAATATAAATTTTTTTTTTCTTACAAAAGAGGGTAATAATCTCGAGTGCGATTAACCATTACTCACATGTGAGTGCGATTATGAAAGAGAAAATTAAGCAACCTCTGATTCTGTTCAGATGGAAAATTCGATTAAAAAAAGTGCAAAATTTCTTATAAAAATAAAAAAAAGAGGTGTAATTTTTTTTTTTCTTAAAAACTATGAAAAAAATTAAATTTCTTTTTTTCATCTATTGTTATTTAAATGATTTGTCATTTAGTATGCTTTACACGACGAAGAATACACTTTGAGCATATAATTGTGGAATGCTTTCACATATTATGGGAATAAACATATATATGTTCACGAAACGAAATGACATTTCCTGTTCCTTAACTGCACAATAAATGATTATTGCATCATGTGTCTCTAGAAAAAAAAAATGGACTAATAACTGGATAATTGTAACAGAATAGAATGACTATACAACGAGACAAAAATAAATACCGCTTCTAAATAATAACGTTAATAATTCCTCCTCTGCTCATGTGCACTTTCCCTCCTCTTTAATATAAAAGAAGTGTTATTTAGAAATCTCACATATTCACCAAGAAAATTGTGTGTACGATAATTATTTAAATTTTCAAACACCTTGTTCAATGAAAAAAAAAACATTAAAAATACCGAAAAAAAAGAATTTAAATAAAAAAAAAATTATTTCTTTTTTCCTTCTCAAAAATATTTAAATTTTGAGAAATAAATTCAATTCGAAATATTCTAAAGAAATAAAATAAATTAATAATAAATAAAGAAATAAAATAAATAATAAATAATAAATAAAGGAATAAAATAAATAAATAGTAAATAATTAAATAAATAAGTAAATAAATAAAATGCAAAATGAATAAATAAATTTAAATAAAAATAGCTCATAATAATAAATAATTAACCGAAAAAATTTGATGAATTTTTTTTAAATAACAATAAAAACACACTAAAGTTATTAATTTAAACAAAATAATATCTTTGTAAAAAAAATTTTGTTTAACTATTTTTCTCTTGTCAGAAATACTTAAATTTTGAAAATTAAATTCTATTGGAAATATTTTCCACAAATAAAATAAAGAAACAATGACTAAATAAATAAAATACAGAATGAATAAATGGAAAAGAAATAAATAAAATAAAAAATAAATAAAAAAGAAGTTTGTTTAAATATTTTTCTCTTATCAGAAATACTTAAGTTTTAAAAAATAAATTCTTTTGGAAATATTATCCACAAATAAAATAAAGAAATGAATAAAATATAAAATGAATAAATAAAAAAGAAATAAATAAAATATAAAATAAATAAATGAAATAGAAATAAATAAAATACAAAATGAATAAATAAAAAATAAATAAAATAAAAAATTAATAAACAAAAAAGAAAATTAAAAAAAAATTGAATTTAAAAGAAATTTGTTCAGATATTTTTCTCTCTTGTCACAAATACTTAAATTTCAAGAAATAAATTATTCGATTATAAATATCATCCACAAATAAAATAAAGAAATAATTAATAAAGAAGTAAAGAAATAAATAAGAAATAAATAATAAGTATAAGAAAAATAAAAAAAGAAATTATTTATAATTTTTTCATATTCTATTATATAATTTTTATTTTCGAAATGTATAAAACTTTCTGCACGTGGTTACAATTTACACTTTTCCTTAAAAGAATTTCGTGCGCGTGAAGTTTACATCACAAAGAGAAATGCCCAAAAAAATTGTTTCATTTAAATATGAAACAATAACCAAGTAGCTTATATATATATAATATATAAGTTATACTTATAAAATCAGTCAATATAAGTAAACAAATACTATGATGAAACTCATTCCATTGTTTGTATTTTCAATATAAATAGTTAATTTGAGAATTTTGAAAATGTATTTGTTTTCGAATTTATTTTATTTTCAATTTCTCAAGGACCTCAATTTTTAAACATTCAAATTTTTTGAACTAAAAACACGTCAGAAAATTTCACTAAAATTAAAAAACATGTAAATTCTTTTTATATATAGAAAACAAGAAAATTTGTTGTTAAAAAATTCTTGCAAAAGTCAAGAAAGCTTGAATAAAGCTTTCTTGATTAAAAAATTATACAGAAAAACATTTTTCTAAACGTTCAATTTGCAGTGAAATATTTTTTTGAGTTCTAATATTTTTTAAAAATTAATAGTCGGTATAGTTAAAAAGTTAAAAAAAATTAACATACACAGCAATTATAATTAACCAAAAAGAAAAAGAGAATTAAATAAACTAAATTCCAGAGTAAAACTGACACTAAAAATTAATATTCAAATAAGTGTCTTTCTATAAATAAAGTATTTGATATTCAAACATTTGATAAAGTAATAAATTAAGAAAAAAGATCAATATTAACGAATACTGTAAAATGATTACGTTAGATGAAAAACAAGATCATTGAAGCAAATTGTATTACATCAAGAAAATTTGCATCATCAAAGATCTTGTTTCACCATCAAAAAATTTCTCTATGTGGTTACAGGTTTCAACAAAGTCACGAACGACATTATTATGGAGGACTTTTAAAACAAAACATTTAAATAGACATATACAAAAACAACAAAAATGCAGAAACATTTGCCTGACAATTAACATAACTATCTCCATTGTAAGTACATACCATATATTATATATGAATATTTCTTCTAAAATTTTATACTCATTTTTTCTTCTTTATAATATTATTAGTCCAATAAACGTCAAATCTTTCTATAAATTTACTTCCAAACTTTCTCAAAATTTAAATTTATTAGTTATTAATTCATAATTTTGAATATATAATTTGTTATTTATTAATTTACTAATTTACTATATAATTTCTGTATGACAACTACTTTAACAGAAAATAAAGTAATCTAAATATTTATTATAAGTTGGTAAATAATGAATAAATTAAAAATTGATTTGAATTTTTATAATTTCTTTAGACACAAACTTTTTTATAATAATAAAAGACCTAATCCATTTCTTATAATTGGATTAATAATAATTAATTTTGTTAAAAAGTAGGTAAATCATAAGTATTAATAACTTTTTAATAATATTTTAATTTAATTAATAATATTTTTAATAATTTGTAATAAAAGACAAATAATAATTAAAAATAATTAATTAAATTTAAAAAAGGATTTTGATTAGAATAATTTCCAAAATAGCAACTATTTTATTATAATAAAAAACCTAATCTATTTATTTATTCTAATTAGGTTTTAAAAATTATATAGGTAATAATAAATAATTAAAATACGAAATAATTCATAAAAATTAATAATTTCTTAACTAACAATGGATTTTGATATAAAAAACAAAAATTTAGTTAAAAAATTATTTTAATTTTAATAATTTCTAAAATAACAACCAGTTTTGCAATATAAAAAACTAATTATAATAGACTCGAATTATAACAAATAAATATTAATAATAATTAAATTAGAAAAATGTGTAAACATAAAAGTTCAAAATTTCCTAAGTAACAACCACTTTTGAATCAAAAAATCCTAACTAAATTAGACTGAATAAAATATTTTTGATTATTGTTAATTATTGAGAATTATTAATGAAATTAGTTATTTTTAATTAATTCAAATTATTTGAAAAATATTTTCTTGGCTCAAATAATTTTTTTTTGATTTAAAAAATATAAATTTCCTCCAAATAATTTGAACTGTTTGAATTACATTGATTTGAATCAAAGAAATCATTATTGGATGAAGTAAATAATTAATTAAATCTAATTAATGAATGTATTTAACACAAATAATAATTTATTTAAAACTGATCATTTATTTATTTAACTCAAATATTCAAATTTTTTGTACAAATTATAAAACTACTAGAAACAATTAATTTATTTTATGAATTCAAGTAAACTAAATTATTTGAAATCTTTGCTATTTAATACACTATTTTACAGAAACAAATAAAAAATATTTAAATCAAGAAAATAATTTTATTGAAATTAAAATAATGTGACAATTGAAACACAATAAAATTGTTATTAATTCAAATGAATTAATTTTTACAAATACGAATAAGTGACTGGCTTTTTCATTTGAATTTGTAAATTTTACTAATAGTTTAGTAGAAATTATTATTTATTAGTAAAATTTACTCTCTAAATTTGAATTAGTAAAAATGTTTATTAATTTTAATTAAAGACTGACTTTTTGCTTTTGAATTAGAAAATTTTACTAATAACTTTGCAAAAATTATTATTTATCAGTAAAGTTAACTAATTATTAGTTTAAATATTTTTTGGTAAATTTACTAACTAATTTGAATTAGTGACTGAATATTTTGCTTTTGAATTAGTAAATTTTAATAATAAACTAATAGACATTACTATTCATTAGTAAAATTTACTAAATAGTACAAATTACTATTTATTAACCAATTTTTTTATTAGTAAAAGTTACGAATTCAAAATTTACTAATAAATTAGTAGAAATTATTATTTTTTTATTAGTAAAATTTATGAATTTAAGGGCATTTGAACCTTGATGACGTCACACATGCTTTGCACAAAGTGTAACGTCATCAAGGTTCAAATGCCCTTAAAATTTAAAAAATAAATAAATAAATTAATTAATTAATTTGAATTAGTTACTAATTTTTTGCTTCTTAATTAGTAAATTTTACTAATTAATTATCAGAAATTACTATTTATAAGTCAAATTTTCTAAGTCAAATTAGTCACTGACTTTTTGCTTTTGAATTTATAAAAAATGACTTTTTATTAGTAAAAATTACTATTTATTAATAAAAATGATTTTTTATTAGTAAAAATATTTACAAATTTAAATTAGTGACTGACTTTTTTATTTTGAGTTAGTAAATTTTACTCATAAATAATAATTTCTGCTAATTTATTAGTAAAATTTGCTAATTCAAAATCAAAAAGTCGGTCACTTACTTATTTAAATTTGTAAGTATTTTTACTAATAAAAAGTCATTTTTGTCAATTCAAAAGCGAAATGTCAGTCACTAATTGAAATTAGTAAACATTTTTACTAATTTGATAGCAAAAAGTCAGTCACTGATTTAATAGTAATTCTTTACTAATGAAATAGTTAATAATGACTAATTATTAGTTAAATTCACTTTTAGGTTGTGTAAAAATGACTGAAATTTGTAGTAACTAATTTAATTAGTGAAATTTGACTATTTTTTTTAGTTATTTCTTTACTATTGATCAGTGATTCTCTACTAATAATTAGTAATTCTTTACTAATTGCTGAAGCAAAAAGTCATCCACGATTTTACTAATAATTAGTTATTTTTAACTAATTCAGACTTATAAATTTGAATTAGTAAAAATGTTTACTAATTTGAATTAGTGACTGCCTTTTTGGTCTTGAATTAGTAAATTTTAGGTAATAATAAATTAGTAGAAATTACTATTTATTAGTAAAATTTACTAATTCAAAAGCAAAAAGTCAGTCACTATAAATGAGTAGTCGTTGTAGTAATTAGTAAATTTGACTAACAAATAGTAATTGATTAGTAAAGTTTACTAATAAATAGTAATTGATTAGTAAAGTTTACTAATAAATAGTAAGTTCTACTAAGTAATTAGTAAAATTTACTAATTCAAAAGCAAAAAGTCAGTCACTATAAATGAGTAGTCATTGTAGTAATTAGTAAATTTGACTAACAAATAGTAATTGATTAGAAAAGTTTACTAAGAAATAGTAATTTCTACTAAGTAATTAGTAAAATTTACTATCAAGTAGTAATTTCTACTAAATTAGTAGTAAAATTTACTAATTCAAATCCAAAAGTCAGTCACTAATTTAAATTAATAAATATTAGTAAACACTAATTCAAGTTTATAGAAAACTTTAATTGGATTCAAATAAATTTTTTTTTCAATTATTACCAAATAATTATTATCTAATAATTATTTTCTTACATTAACAGATGAGACATAAAGAGAGAAATTCAAAGAAACAATTCCAAAGGACAATTAAATGAAAGAAGAAAAAAAGAAGAAAAAAAAGAAGAAAAGTGTTTGTAAATTAAATGTGACTCGATAATATGGCAATTTTAGGCGCGTCATTAGGTGCATTAAAAGCGGCAGCCTTAATATTTGGAGTGGCAAAACCAATATTTATTTCAATTCTAATTGCAATTATCACCTATTATAATTATGACATGGTGGACCCTGAGAAACATCCAAAAGTGACGAGGAATTTGAGAAAGGAATATGATTTTATTGTCGTTGGCGCCGGTTCAGCGGGGAATATTGTTGCAAATCGACTCACCGAGAATCAAAATTGGAATGTACTTTTACTAGAGGCCGGTGGTCATGAAACGGAAATCACCGATGTTCCAATATTATCACTCTATTTACATAAAAGTAAATTGGATTGGAAATATCGAACTCAACCGCAAGCCTCCGCTTGTCAGGCGATGGTTGATAAAAGGTGCTGTTGGACTCGAGGAAAAGTGAGTTATTTATTTCTTATTGCCTCAAAATGATTATCATTATCGACATAAATCATTTTTTAGTTCCTACATCATAGAGACGTTGTTTCGGAAAGTTCAAAAGTAAAACTTCAAAATTAAATATTGAAAATTAAACTAATTGGAAATTATTCATTGAAAAAAGGTTTTCACTAAATTATTAGAAGCATGAGAAGGCAATTTTTAACGAGATAAGAAAATCTATTATATGGCTAATAAAAGGTTCTTTCTCTCTTTCTCTTTTCAAATTTGAATTAATTAATAATAGTTCCTTATTGGTAAAATCTTCGCTGACTTTTCACTTTAGCAATTAAATTAGTGTATAAATCTGAATCAGTAAAATTCATCTCTAATAGTAAAACTTCAAGATAAAATTTTAAACCCTGGTTTAAATGAATGCTGCGATAATTTTGTTACAACTTTTTTAAAAGTTTTTATTTTATTACAAAACTGGCAAATGATACTCGATATTCCATTTCTTATTATTTTGTAAATTAAAAACTGTTATATTTTATTAAAAAAAATATTATTATTAAAAAATTAAAAAATTATTATTAAAAATTCAGAAAAAATTCTTCCAAACAATTCAATTATTTTTATGAATTGTAAAATCATTCGCAAGAATATTTAATTATTTTCATAAATAAGAAAATTCTTCTCAAGAATTAAAATATTTTAATAAATAATAAAATTCTACAAAGGAATTCAATTATTTTCTTAAATAATAACATTCTTCGGACGAATTCAATTATTTTTTATAAATAATAAAATTTTTGGATCAATTTAATTATTTTCAATACAATTTTAATAAAATTTCTCCAAAGAATACAATTATTTTTTAAAAATATTTAAATTCAATTATTTTCAAGAGTTATTTTTATAAAAATTCAATTATTTTCAAAAATTTTGATAAATAATTCTTCGAATCAATTCAATTTTTTTTTTATAAATTGTAAAATTCTTGGCAAAAATTCAATTATTTTCATAAATAATAAAATGTTTCTGAGAAATTCAATTATTTTATTTTCAATACAATTTTAATAAAATTTCTAAGAAAAAATCCAATTATATTCAAGATAATTTTAATAAAATCTCTCTAAAAGGTTCAATTATTTTTAAAAATGCTAATAAAATTTTTCTAAGCAATTCAATTTTTCTCAAAAGTTTTTAATAAAATTCTTTGTATATTTCAATTATTTTCAAAATTTTGTAATTAAAATTACTTTAAAAAATGTAATTATTTTTACGAAATTTAATGAAATTCTTCAATAGAAAAATGTAATTATTTACAAATAATTTACAATTAATAATAAACACGATTATTTTCGAAACCTAAAAGAAATTTTTATTAAAATTCAATTATTTTCAAAGTTTTCAGTAAAACTTATTTAAAAAAACTTCTTTATTTCCAAGAAAATTGAAATAAATTCTTCAAAATAACAATTCAATTATTTTAAAGAATTTTAATAAAAATTTTGCCAAGAATTAAATTATTTTCAATTTCAATACAATTTTAATTACATTTTTTCGAAAGAATTTAATTATTGAAAAAAATTTTGATAAAATTCTTGAAATTAATTCAGTTATTTTTAAATTTTTTTATAAATACTTAAAAAAAAAAAAAAAGAATTCAATGATTTCCGGTACATCGACAAGTTAATTATTTCTGAAAATAATTGAATTCTTAAATAGAATTTTATTAAAACTTTTTTAAATAATTGAATTTTTGTAAAATTAAAAAAAAAATAAGTCAATTTTTGACAAGAATTTTATTAAAATTCTATTTAAATTTTAAAATATTTGAATTCCAGCGAAAATTTCATTATTTCTGAAAATAATTGAATTCTCGAATTGGATTTTATTCAAAATTTTTTAAATAATTGAACTCCTGTAAAAAAATTCAATTATTTTTTAAAATAATTGAATTTTGTCGGAGAATTTTTACAAGATTTTTAAAAATTATTTAAATTTTCGAAGAAATTAATTAAAATTGTATTGAAATTATAAAAGAAATCCTTAAAAGAATTTTATTACAATTATTAAAAATAATTGACTTCTTCATAAAATTAAATAATAATTTTCAATGTATATATCAAACAAAACACAAATGAAGAAAATATTTCAAAATATGTAAAATATTAAAATAAAAAGTTTCAGGTTTCACGCCTTGCGTATAATATATCTTTAAATGAAAAATAATTAATACTAAATGTCAAAAGATAATAAATTTCTATTTTAATCGTTCGAAAGATTAAAAATATAATTAGTTATTTTCATTTCTTTTCAACTATTTGTTTCATTATATAAGAATTGAAGTAATTAAAAAAAGAAATTAATAATGATACTATCAAAAATAATAATAAAAACAAAAAAATTTAAAACAACAATACTGAAAATAGTGAAAATAATTAAAAAAAACTATTTTAACAAAAATCAAATATTAAAAAATAATTATTATTTAATTAACAATTTAACTAATTCAGATTTAAAGAGCAATTATTATTATATTGTTCTCTATTATTTTTCCACTGACGAAAATATTTTATGTTTAAAACAACAAAATAATCCATTTTACATATATTTAATTAATTAACAGAGAATCTAAAAGATAAAACATTTGAAATGAAAACTATTGTTAATCAAAAGAAATACAAGTATTCACGCGTTCACTTTCGTTTCGATTAAAAAAAATTTCACAAACCAGAGTAAATTGAAATTAATTATAAAATCTGTTATTTCGTATATGCACACAAGGCACGATATCCTTTTTTCAATGCATCGAGTTTCACCAGAAACTTTATTTGTAAAATCAATCTAATTAAATGAAGAATTTTTTTTTATTCTTACGGAATTTATAAATAAAATAATAGTTATAGAAAAGTATTATTAAAAATAATAGGCGAAAACCAAAAGAACATAAGTTGTACTCAAAAAAAGTTGTTTATTTAATTTAAATATAATTTATTTAAGTCAAATTAAAGTTCTCTCTTTTGAATTAATAAATTTTACTAGTAAATTAGTAGAAATTACTATTTATCAGTAAAATTTACAACTAAATTAGTAGAAATTATTATTTATTAGTAAAATTGACTAATTCAAAAGCCAAAAGTCAGTCACTAATTCAAATTACTCTCTAGATTTGAATTAGTAAAAATGTTTACTAATTGGATTTAGTGACTGAATTTTTGCTTTCGAATTAGTCAATTTTAGTAATAAATAGTTATTTCTACACAGAGAAAAATCTAAAGTAACTTTTACTATTTTTATAGTAAAAAATTTCCGGTAAAGCATTTCTGGTAATTTTTACTACTTTTGGAGTAAATTTTGCTACGTTCGAAGTAAATTTTACTAATTTTTACAAATATGTACTTCGAACGAAGCAAAATTTAATACAAAAGTTGTAAAAATTAACAGAAATGCTTTACCGGAAATTTTTTACTATAAAAGTAGTAAAAGTTACTTTATATTTTTCTCCGTGTACTAATTTATTAATTTACTAATTCAATTTAGTAAACAGTTTTACTAATTAAAATTTATAGAGTATATTTATCACAAAATATAAATTTTTTATTTGTTTTAAGTAAATAAATTTTTTTCCTGCTCCGAAAAAGAAACTTTTATTTGAACCAAAATAAAATTTGTTTAAAACTATAGTCAAAAGTCCAATTGGCTCGGAGTAAAATATATTTTTTTCTGAATATTTCGACGTGGAATAATTTTTAAAAAAGTAATGAAAAAAATAGTTATTTACAAATAATAGTTTCTACTATAAAATCTGTTTTTTGTTCACGATTGCAAATTTCTTTTCCCCGAACAAAAGTTCACTGATATTAAAGTTCACGTACGCACACGCGGTAATAGGTCAAAGGGTCTCCATTTTTTATTGTCAGGTGTCTCACACTCAATGCACGCATATGAAATTTTAATGATAAATTGTCATCGTGAATAAAAATTTACCACGCTAAAAACAAGGATCATACAGGGCATTTACTTATATGTACAACAATTTGATAATCCCACACAAGCCTCTATGTGGTAACAACTCGCAAAATTACACTCATTTTCTCAAATCGTTTTACATTTTTATATTTTTACAACGTAATTAAAATACAGAAAATTACTTCAAAATTACTTCAAAATTTCTTTTGAATTGTTAACAAAAATTTTTTTTTGAAAAGGATTTAAGGAACACCTTGGTGTTCCTTAAATCCTTTTTAAAAAAAAAGTGATGAGACCAAAAAGATTAAAAACTACTAAAAGAGAATAATAGTCAATTTTTAGATTCGATATAATTTTAAATAGCGTTAATCTCCTTAAATTACAAAAGTGAAACTTTACATATATATATATATATTATATATCGATTCGAGGAGAGAAAGCAAAAAACAATTTCTGAGGATAAAATTATACCTGACCTTAAGAAATTTATATATATTATAAAATAGTAGTTTACTGAAAGAAAGTTGTCGCAAGATATATAATGTTATTTTTTAAACAGTTTTATTATATAGCAACATTAAAAGGCCATGCAATTTACAGAGATATAAAATAACTCACAAGAATAGTGCAAACCGTTTAGAAATTAAAATTGAAATTGTCTAAATTCTACCACACTTAACGCAATGTTGAATAGCTTTTTCTCTTCACTAGCAAGAAAAAAATGGGTAATTGCAAACAAATTTTCAAAAAAACATTTTAAACTCAAATTATCAACAATGCGATAATATTTTATTGTCTATTTTAGTGTACAATAGAATGTGGCATTAAGGAAATAAATTATACATCTACATAATATATAATAATAATAATAATAATAAATAATTATTATTATTATTATTATTATTATTATTATTATTATTATTTTTTATTTATTATAATATTAATTTTTATTTATATTTATATTTATATTATTATTATATTATATTTTTATTATTAATTTAAGATTATTTTTTTTTATTTTAATTTTATTATTTTCATTATAATTCTTTTTATAATAATAATAATTATAATATTTATATTTTTATATTTTTATATTTTATATTTATATAATATATTATAAAAAGAATTATAATGGAAATAATAAAATGAAAATAAATAAAATAATAATAATAATTATTGTTATTATTATTTTTATAACAAGAATTATTAATAAAAATAATAAACTAAAAATAAAAATAATAATAATATTAATAATTATTACAAGAATAAATAACGAATATTTGTTATATATACAGTTTACAGCTCCTATATACATATGATGAAAATATTATATAATTTCTTCAAGAACGAGTCTAATTGCAGAAAAAGTAATTCGGGAAAAACACCTGTGTAATTGAACCGCAGTCTCCATTACAAAGTAAAAGGATTAAAAACCTTGACCTAATATGATATTATTTTCTTTTTTTCTCAAATTCATCCGAAAATATTGAAATTAAGTAATAATACAAATAATAATAACAATATCAGTAGAGAGAATTATATATTATAATAATAATAATGAAATAATAGTAATATTATTAATTATTAATATAAATAGTTAATAGTTAATTTTTAATTATTAATAATACCGAATTATCATTTTTATTATCATCATATTATACATTTGAATTGTGTTCATTAAACCATGATATATAATAATTTTTTGTTTCTGCAGAAAATCAAGTATTTAAATGAAGTTGACCAATTAATTAAAATGTGAAACAATTTAAGAAATATATTAATATGCATTGGGCAATTTCAAGAAGTTCAAGTTCAAAATTCATACATTAACTAATACACAAATACGTGCAAATAAAATTGTCGCGAAGAAAAATTGCGCTAATTATATAAGTAGGTATAATTTTATATTGATTTTTATCAGGTAATTGGCGGTTCAAGTGTATTGAACACGATGCTGTACATACGAGGCAATCGTCGTGATTTCGATCAATGGGAAAGTTTCGGAAATCCTGGCTGGGGATATGAAGATGCACTTTATTATTTCAAAAAATCGGAGGATCAAAGAAATCCGTATTTGGCACGAAATAAACGTTATCATGGAACTGGTGAGAATTTCATTTATTTTCCTATTAAGTATTTATTCGTTTATTTATTTCGATATCAAATTGAGAAAAAAAGAACGAATTCACAAAACTGACAAAAATTCCATTCCATATTTTTTATTTTCCTGGCTTTTTCCTAATTTTCAGCAAAAAAATATTTACTTCTTTCTTATCCTGCTAATAAATTGAATTCCTGCAACGAATTTTATTATTCATGAAAGAATTTAAATATTTATAAAAATAATTTAATTCTTGTTAAGAGTTTTATAAAAATGTTTAAATAATTGATTTCCTTAGACTAATTTCATACAAATTCTAATTTAAATAATTGAATTCCTGAGAAATTTGTAATATTCATAAAAAGAATTGAATTCTTACGAAGATTTTTACAAAGAATTTTTAAATAATTGAATTCTGTTTGGAAATTTTATGAAAACAGTAGATATTGAAAATCATTAAATTGCGAAAAGATTTTAAAAATAATTAAATTTTACAAAGAATTCTATTAAAATTATTGACAATAATTGAATGTCTGTGTGGTATTTTAATTAATTTGTTTGAAAATAATTGAAAATTTTTTTAAAATAATTGAATTCCTGAGAAGAATTTTATTATTTATAAAAATAATTGAATTTTACAAAGAATTTTATTAAAATGCCTCAAAATATTTCAATTTTCGGAAATAATTTTGTTATATTTATCGAAATAATTGAATTCTTAGGAAATTCTTCTAAAAGAATAATTGAATTATTTAAAAAAAAGTAATCAAAACTGTATTTAAAATAATTGATTTTTTTCCAACAATTTTATTAAAATATTTAAAAATAATTGAATTCCTGTAAAAAAATTCTAATATTTTTGTAAAAAATTGAATTCTTCTGAAGAATTTTAAAACATTTTTTTAAATAATTGACTTTTTCAAAGAATAGAACTTAAATTTTTAAGAATAATTACATTTTTCGAACAATTCCTGTAAAATTGTATTAAAAATAATTGAAATCCTGCAATGAGTTTTATTATTTATGAAAATAATTGAATAATTGTTAAGAATTTTATTAAAATTTTCAAAAATAATTGAATTCCTGAGAAGAAATTTAATATTTATGAAATTAATTGAAATTTTAAAAAGAATTTTATTAAAATTTTTGAAAATAATTGAAATTTTGATAAGAATTTTAAAAATTTTTTGAACATATTTGAATTTCTGTGAAGAATTCAAATATTTTCCAAATTAATAAAATTTTGCACAAAAATTCAATTATTTTCAAAAAATCAAAAAACAATGGTTGTCAACATTTCAATTATCTTTATAAATGAATAGCAAAATTCTTCGATAAAATTCAATTATTTTCAGGAAGTAATAAAATTCAATTAATTTAAAACATTTTAATAAAATTCATGTCAAAATTTCAATTACTTTTAAAAATGTTTCTTAATTCAATAATTTTTAATATTCTACTATTTAAAAAAAATTTCCCAAAAGAATTCAATTATTACCTAAACAAAAATTTTGATAATATTCGACACGAACATAGTTGCAAAGAATTTTATTAAAATTTTCAAAAATAACTGTATTCCTGAGAAGAATTTTATTATTTATCAAAATAATTGAATTATTGCGAAAAATTTTATTAAAATATTTAAAAGAATTGACTTTCTGTAAAAAATTTTGTTAATTTGAAAAATAATTGAATTCTTTATAAGAATTTTGTAATCGTTGTTTTAAATAATTAATTTTTTCGAGATATAATAATTATTCTGAATATTTTATTTTAAATAATTGAATTCTTCTGGAAAACTTTATTTGTGAAAATAATTGGCTTTTTCGATTAATTAATTCCAAATAGTATTAAAAATAATTGAAATTCTTCAATGAGTTTTATTATTTATGTAAATAACTGAATTCTTGCTTAAAATTTTACCAAAAATTTTTTTAAAAAATTGAATTTCCATGAAAAATTATATTATTAGTGAAAGTAATTGAATTATATTGTGAAAAATTGTATAAAAATTTTGTTAAATAATTGATTTTTTCGAAATTTTTTTCAAAATGCTATTCTAAATTAATTGAATTCCTGTGGAAATTTTATTGTTTATTTCAATTCTCTAGAAATTAGTTTCAATTTTAAAAATTTTAACACAATTCTTTGAAAGAATTCGACTATCTTAATAAATATTAAAATTCTTTTCAGAAATTCAATTATTTTGAAAAATTTTCGTCGATATTTTAATTATCTTCATAAATATCAAAAATTCTTCGACGAAATTCAATTATTTTCAAAATTAATAAAATTCTTCGATAAAATTCAACTATTTTCAGGAATTTTAATAAAATTCATTGCGAAATTCAATTATTTTCATAAATAACAATATTCACCATAAGAATTCAAGTATTTTGAAAAATTTTAATAAAATTCATGCTATTCCAAATTAATTGAATTCCTATGGAAATTTTATTGTTTATGAAAATAATTGAATCTTGGATGAATTTTATCAATTTTTTTTCTAAATAATTGAATTTTTTCGCTAAAGTTTATGAAATAAAATTTCAGTTCTTCTTGATTATTTACTATCAAAATAAAGTTGGAATTATTAATCAAAATTGGTATGGAATTTGATAAATTTAGGCTAACCTATATAAATAGAACCAATATACAGAATATCTTTGTCAAATACGGATAAAAAAGAAAGTGAACTAAATTATCTAATGTTCCGAAAAGTGTAACCTATTCACTGAACTAATTCCCCCTTTGCATTTTGTAATCATTTCCAAATCTACCCAAATTTCTATCGTAACAATTAGTATTCTCCTCAAGTTCGAAATCCATGTCCACTATGAAGCAAACCGCACTAAAAATAGTGTCTTAGTTTTCATTTTCATTTGTCACGTAGGTACGTCAAATGACATTCAAATTCAAGCTTAGAAAGTGCTAAGAAAACTGTTCCACTTTTCTCCTTCTCTTTTTAGTCAAAAACAGTGCCAAAAATATGTTTTGCAACACGATTCTTTTTTTTTTCGTTCCCACGTAATTTTTAAATTTACCAAACAAAATCATTATCTCAAGTTTTATTTGTCATTCATTTAAAAATCCGCCAGACAAGAATTTGATTTCCTGTCTGCTATATTGCATTTCACAAGTTTTGTATATAATGAAAGTTTTCGGTTCCTATATATCGAGATGTTGGGAGAGGTGAAAAAAGTCGGAGGGATCAATCGCTGCTTTAGTATAGAAAGTAGGATGCATGAATCTACATAAATGTGCGAGTAAAAGCAGACTTACATCATTGACATGCGCGCTCATTAGGTGTGCGCGAATTACAGATTATTTAATGATGCAAAATCAATATGCAGTCGTAAAAATGATGAAACAATATAATGTTCCTAAATTTATTGACATCAGACACACATAAGAGTTGTTAAAAAATACATTTTTCCATCTAATGGAAGTTGTATCATAAACGCCTGCTTTGATAGTTGCAATATAATCAATTGGTAATCATTGAATCGTTAAGCAATATCGGTACGAGAAACTTCACATTCACCGCATTGGGTCAAATTCTCAACTTAAAAAAATCGCATACCTAGAGACCGGTTTATTTCTCGAGATCTATAGTGAATAAGTGACGAAAATTCGACTGCTTTTTTTGCTATTTCATTGCCACAAAAATTCAATTTTGTTTTTCCCTAACTTTTCTCTGAGTTCCAGAAAAAATTTTGCCTTTTTCCCTGACCCTAAAGAATATTCTGATTCACTCTAAAAATAATTAGACAAAAAAATGTTCTATATTGGATTCATTTACGAATTTCTTTAAACTATAAAATTATTCGAAAACATTAGGAACTTCTTTTTTTAATAAATTTTTGATTATTATGAGGGTTGCCACAGGACAGGAAAAGCAGGGAATTCAAGGAAAAGTCAGGGATTTTTATTAAAAATACTGAAAAAATTAAATGTTAAAAATTTATAAGAAAATTCTCAATTTTTTTGTGTCTTTTTGTTTGCCTCATAAAATATGAGAATATGACGAATTCTAATACAAAACCTTCAATTTTTTCTATTTCCGACAATAATTTCTTTTTAAATAATTAAAATTGGATTTCAAGAGTTGCGTTTACAATTTTTATAAATACATGAACTTTAAAAGTTCAATTAGAAATTTTAGGAAATTTTAATATTTAATTAATTTAATTAAAAATTTTAAGAACTGATTACAGAAATTCAATTATTTTCAAAAGTGATAAACTTCTTCAAATAAATTCAATATTATGTTTAAAAATTAAAAACAAATTATCGTCAAAATTTCAACTTATCTTTATAATTAATAAAATTCTTCTCTAAAATTCAATTATTTTCAAAAATTATAATAAAATTCTTGGCAAAGTTTTAATTATTTTCTAAAGTAATAAAATTCTTCGCATAAATTCAATTATTGTTTAAAAATTTTTTAAAATTCTCGTCAAAATTTCAATTATATTATTATTTATGAAAATAATTAAATCCCTTAAAAGAATTTTAAAATTTATGAAGATAATAATTGAATTACTGCGAAGAATTTAATGCCAAATTTTAAAACATTTGTTTTTTTCAAAAAAATTTATACAAATTCTATTTTAAACAATTGAAAATTTAAATCCTATGAAATTTTTACTTTTTTTGAAAAATAATTGAATGTTCGTGAAGAATATTATTAAAATTTTTGTTTAATAATTGAATTTCTTTGGGAAATTTTATTAAAATAGTAGAATATTGAAAATTATTTAATTATAAGAAAAATTTTTGAAAATAATTGAATTTTACAATGACTTTTATTTAAATTCTTGAAAATAATTAAATTTTGTCGATGAATTTTGCTATTTATTTATAAAGATAATTGAAATGTTGACAACGATATTTTTTTGTTTTTTCTTTAAATAATTGAATTTCTGCGAAGAATTTAATATTTTAATTACTTTTAAAAATAATTGAATTTTACAATGAATTTTATAAAAATCCCTACATAAAATTGAATTTTAGAGAATAATTTTGCTATTTATAAAGACAATTGAAATTTTGACGAGAATTTTTCTTTAAATTTTTGAAAATAATTGAATTTCTCGAAAGAATTTTAATATTTATTAAGATAGTTGAATTCTTTCAAGGAATTGCGTTAAAAATTTTTTTAAATTGAAACTAATTACAAGAAAATTAAAATATAAATTTAAAAAAAAATACTTCATTAAATGATTTATATGTCATAACTTTAGGGTAGTTCTTCAATAGAATTAAGTTATTTAAAATAAATTATTGTCATATTCATCACAAGAATCCAATTATTTTCAAAAGTAATAAAATTCAATTATTGTCAAAAATTTTAAGAAAATTCATTGCCAAATTTCAATTATTTTCAAAAATTTTTTTAAATTCTTATCAAAATTTCAATTATTTTCAAAGATTTAAATAAAATTCTTTTTAAAATTTCAATTATTTTCATAAAGAATAAAATTCTCCTCAGGAATTCAATTATTTTTGAAACTTTTTTCTAAAATTCTTCGCAAAAATTCAATTATTTTCAAAAATAATAAAACTCATTGCAGAATTTCAATTATTTTTAATACAATTTTAATCGAATTGCTAGAAAAATGTAATTATGCTCAAAATTTTTATTAAAATTCATCGAAAGAATTCAATTATTTTAAAAAATTTTTGATAAAATTCTTCATAAAAATTCAATTTTAAGAAATATTCAATTATTGAATAAATTATTATCTACACGGTAAATCGTTAGGTATTAAAATAACACCAAAATGGATTAAAATGACACTAAATTGGATTATTTTAATCCTTTTTGGTGTTATTTTAATACCTAACGATTTACCGTGTATGTTTGCTTTCAAATAATTGAATTCTCCTAGAGTTTTCCAATAAAAATTGATTTAAAAATTAATTTATAGTTTTTCCAATTTCATTTACAGTTTTAGATAATAATTGAATTTTTGAGAAGTTATTAATAATGGCAATTTTTAGAAATAATTGAATTTTACAAAAGGGTTTTGAATAAAAATCTTTGAAAATCTAAATTTTTCATACTTTTATTTAAAAATTTTATGAAACTAATTTTTTCCAAAAAGCTTAATTAAAATTTTTTGAAATTAATTCAAGTTTTTATTTTCTAATATATATACAATTGAAGAATTTCCGAATAATCGATGAATTTTCGTAAAATTGAATTGTAAACAAATGAATTTAAAAATTCTCAAAGGAATTCGTCGAAAATTATTAAAAATAATTGATTTAAAGAAGAATTTTAGTTGAAAATTGTAGAAAATAATAAATTGAATTGAACTAATAGAAATAATTTTGAAGAAGTTGCAATAACAATATTGTTATAATTTTATGTTTTGGCAAATTAAAATTATGCAGATTTTTGTTCTTTACTTCTAAAGAAAATTAGAAAATTGTTAAACAACTGTGATTAAGATATAGAAAATTTATTTATTTTGCATTATTTTTCTTTATGAATCACAATTTTTTTAACAAAATTATTATTTTGTTTTAGAAAAAGAAGAAAAATATTTGCACAATTTCTATTTTTAATCTTATTTTTGGAACAGAATTTTCCACAGGAATTGACATTCAAAAATTTTTAATTCAAACCTTTTTTAAATTTTTTTTATATTATAAGAATATTGTTACTGTAAATTCATCAAAATTATTTTCATCATTTCAATTCAATTATTATTTTCTAGAATTTTTAAATTATTTTTTATGAAAATAATTGAATTCCTGTGAAATTTTTATTATTTATGAAAATAATTAAATGTTTACATACAATTTTATTAAAAAATTTTTTAAATAATTGAATTCTTTTTGTGAAATTTTATTAAAATATAGTAGATATTGAAAATCATCGAAATTAGAAAAATGCATTTTTTATTTTTGAAAATAATTGAAATTAGGACAAGAATTTTTTTTGACATTTATGAAAATAATTGAATTTCTGTAATTATTTGCAATTTCTCGAAAATTGAATTTTTTTAGTGTTTTCAACAAAAATTTTAATTAGAAAATTTTTAAATTCTATTATTTTTAAAATTTGCTAATTATGTTTTAATAAACTTACACGTGAGAAAAATTATCTAATTAAAAGCAAAATAAAATTAATTTATAAAAATAAATTCGCAGGTCTTTTGGAGTCAAGGGAAAAATCAAAATTTTATCTGTAAATCAGGGAAAAGTGATTAAATTTTTCTGGCAACTCTGATTATCATGATTTTTAACAATTCTGCAAAAAGCTTCTAAAAATCCAAACAGAGTCTTCCTTTCTATACGACTAAAAATTCTTATTCGAAGCAATCTTGTAAATCGTAATCAAAAGAAAACAACTTAATTACTTAATGCTCCTCCGAATTGCGAAAGTAATGCATAATCATGAGGCAAATTAAATCGACTGCTATCAAAATCAACTCGACTTTTGTCTTTTATTCTCCACTTATATAAAAGCAATTTCAAACTGATTTCAGGTCATTTAACGCAGATATCCTATATGCATATATATATAAATACACCCAACTTTCACAGACTGCTGATGCTTTTTGTTTTTTTTTCTTTTCTTCCGATTTTCTACAGGAGGTTACCTCACAGTACAAGATGCTCCGTATAACACACCGTTAGGCGCAGCGTTTCTGCAGGCAGGCGAAGAAATGGGTTACAATATTGTCGACGTGAATGGAGAGCAACAGACCGGATTCGCCCTCTACCAATACACCATGAGACGTGCAACACGTTGTAGTTCGGCGAAAGCGTTCATTCGACCCATTCGACTGAGGCCCAACTTCCACCTTGCACTCTGGACACATGTGACCAGAGTTCTCATCGACCCAACAACCAAACGTGCTTATGGCGTTGAATTCATAAGAGACGGCACAAAGCAGGTAGTCTATGCGAAGAAAGAGGTCATCCTATCGGCCGGAGCCATCAATTCGCCACAACTTTTAATGTTGTCTGGAATTGGTCCAAGGGATCATCTTTTGCAAAAGGGCATTCATGTTGTAAAGGTACAATAATTTTTATTCGACGTTTTTTCTGATAATGCTGTTTGGGGCTCTTGAACTTAGCACCCACTTCATTTTGGAAATTTAAAGTTAAATATTTTTACGCAGTCACAACTTACAATCAGAACCTAGTTCTGCTTTCAAAATTTTATGTTGGTTCCAAATAAAAAAATGTTTAAATTTAAGATTTAATTTCCAAAAATTAAGTGGGTGCTGATAACTAGGTGCAGGGCTCAAACTAGGTCCAGTATAGATTTCGCAGACTTTGCACACGATAATTAATTTTTAAAAAAGTCGTAAGAAGTAGCTTTCAAACTAAAAAAAATTAGTAAAAAAGTAGATATCAAAAAATTAAACTTGACGACCAAAAAAACACGTTTTAGACACTTCACAAAACTGACAAAAATTCCACTCTATATTTTATTTTCCTGACTTTTTCCTCCTTTTCATCAAAAATATTTACTTCTTTCTTATCCTCCAAATAAATTGAATTCCTGCAACGAATTTTATTATTCATGAAAGAATTTAAATATATTTATAAAAATAATTTAATTCTTGCGAAGAATTTTATAAAATTTTTTAAATAATTGATTTCTATCGACTAATTTCATGCAAATTCTAATTTAAATAATTGAATGCCTGAAAAATTTTTATTATTCATGAAAAAAAAATTGAATTCTTAAGAAAATTTTTACAAAGAATTTTTTAAGTAATTGAAATCTGTTCGAAAATTTTATGAAAATAGTAAATATTGAAAATCATTGAATTGCGAAAAGTTTTTTAAAATAATTAAATTTTACAAAGAATTTTATTAAAATTTTTGACAATAATTGAATGTCTGTGTGGCATTTTAGAATTTTTTAATTAATTTAATATGATCCTAAAGTTCTGAACGTTCAAATGAACGAAATTTATTTATTTCTTCTTTAATTTAAATATTTATTACAATAATTTTTTGTTGATATGAAGAAAATTGAATTATAAAGTTTCTAAGTGTAAAATTTAAGTTTTTAATTTTTATTGCGAACAGTAATTTATAAAAATATTTCTAATAAAAAGTGTTTCGTTCATTTGAACGTTCAAAACTTGTGGATCATAATTTAATTTCCAAGAAGAAATTTTTTACTTTTAAAAATAATTAAATTCACAAGAATTCAACTATTCTTAAAAGTAATAAATTTGTCATGAATATTATTATTTATATGAAAATAATTGAATTTTGCAAAAAAATTTATTAAAATGCCTCAAAATAATTGAATTTTCGGAAATAATTTTGTTATTTATCTTTAATAATTGAATTCTTTCGAAGAATGATTTACTTAAATAATTGAATTCTTGGGAAGAATTTATAATTAAAATCTAAAAGAATAATTAAACTATTTCAAAAAAATTTAATTAAAATAATTGTAACAAAAATAATTGATTTCTTTCGAACAATTTTATTCAAATATTTGAAAATAATTGAATTCCTGTGAAAAATTCTAATATTTTTGTAATTAATTCAATTCTTCCAAAGAATTTAAAAAAAACCTTTTTTTAAATAATTGATTTTTTCGAGGAATTAAAATTAAATTTTTAAGGATAAATACATTTTTTGAGCAATTCCTGTAAAATTGTATTAAAAATAATTTAAATCCTGCGATGAATTTTATTATTTATAAAAATAATTAAATTCCTGTAAAAAAATTGTATTATTGAATGTTTATAAAACTAATTGAATATTGAACTATTGCGAGGAAATTTATTAAAAAATTGCAAATAATTGAATTCGTGATGAATTTTTATTATTTTGTGAAAATAATTGAAATTTAGAGGAGAATTAAAAAAAATTTTACACATAATTGAATAATTGAATTTTTGCGAAGAATTCTATTACTTTTGAAAATCATTAAATTGAGGAAAATTTTTAAATATAATTGAATTTTGGAAAAGAATTTAATTATTTATAAAGATAATTGAAATTTTGCCTAGAATTTTGAAAGTTTTTTTATGAAATTTGAATTTCCGTGAAGGATTTCATCACTTTTGAAAATAATTGAAATTTTGCAAAGAATTATATTAAAATTTTTGAAAATAATTGAAATTTTGACGTGAAGTTTTAAAAATTTTTGAACATAATTGAATTTCTGTAAAGAATTCAAATATTTTTAAAATTAATAAAATTCTTCGCAGAAATTCAATTATTTTCAAAAAATAAAAAAAATGATTGTCAACATTTCAATTATTTTTATAAATGAATAGCAAAATTCTTCAATAAAATTCAATTATTTTCAGGAATTTGAATAAAAGTCATTGCAAAATTTAATTATTTTCATAAATAACAATATTCACCTCAAGAATTCAATTATTTTCAAAAGTAATAAAATTTAATTATTTTCAAAAATTTAATAAAATTCATGGCAAAATTTTAATTACTTTCAAAAATTTTGTCTTTATTCAATAGTTTTCAATATTCTACTATTCTAATAAAATTTCCCAAAAGAATTCAATTATTATTAAACAAAAATTTTGATAATATTCGACACGAACATAGTTGCAAAGAATATTATTAAAATTTTCAAAAATAAGTGGATTTCTGAGAAAAAAAATTTTATTAAAATGTTTAAAATACATTTTTAGTACAATTGAATTCTTGTGGGAAATTTTATTTATGAAAATAATTGAATTTTTCGATTAATTAATTTAGTATTTTAAATAATTGAAATTCTTCGACGAGTTTTGTTATTTATGAAAATAATTGAATTCTTGCGCAGAATTTTATCAAAAATTGAATTTCCATAAAAATTTTATGTATTAGTGAAAGTAATTGAATTATTGTAAAGAATTGTATAAAAATTTTGTTAAATAATTAATTTTTTCGAATTTTTTTTTGAAAATACTATTCTAAATTACTTGAATTCATGTGGAAATTACTATTTATGAAAATAATTGAATTTTATCAATTTTTTTTTACAATTGAATTCTGTTGCGAAATTTTATGAAAATACTATATAGATATTGAAAATAATTGAATTTCGAATATTTTTTGAAACTAATGGAATCGTTTTGAAGAATTTGATTATAATTTTTGAGAATAGTTTTTTGATTTCTAGTATTAGCGAATTTAAAGTAGTGGAAATTCTCAAAAAAAAATCAGAAATAATAGCTTTTAGTTGCTGAATTCTAAAAAAAGTACCCAAATAGTAGCATGACGTACACTTTAAGAAGAAAGTTCTAAATTAGGGCTGATTTAGGTATTAAAAATTGGTACTAAAATAATAATTGTAATATTTTTGCTGTAAAAGGAAAGTTATAAATTAGAGCTGATTTTGATATTAAAATAGAACCAAATTACGATTTAGTACCAATATTTGTACTAAAATAATACTTTTTTTTACAGTGTAAAAAAGTAGTAAATAGTAGGTTTTAGTAGATGAGTGCAAAGGCTGAGATTTTCTAACAAATTTTTCAAAAATCGACAGGATTCACCAGGAGTTGGCCAAAACGTGCAGGACCACATCGCAGTAGGTGGCCTCGCATTCCTGATAGACTATCCAATTAGCATAGTAATGAATCGCCTGGTGAATGTGAATTCAGCTCTTCGTTACGCCATAACGGAAGATGGACCCCTAACATCCAGCGTCGGTCTGGAGGCTGTCGCTTTCATATCAACAAAATACGCGAATCAAAGTGACGATTGGCCAGACATTGAATTCATGTTGACGTCGTCGTCGACGAATTCCGACGGTGGCACCCACGTGAAAAATGCTCACGGTCTCACTGACGAATTCTACAACGAAGTATTCAGCGAAATCAACAACCACGACGTATTCGGAGTATTTCCCATGATGCTGCGACCAAAGTCAAGAGGGGTCATTAAATTACGATCGAAAAACCCCCTCGACTATCCTCTCATGTATCACAACTACCTGACCCATCCTGACGACGTGAATGTCCTCCGCGAAGGCGTCAAGGCTGCAATAGCTTTGGGCGAGACGGCAACAATGAAACAGTTTGGTGCAAGATTCCACAAGAAGCCTCTGCCGAATTGTAAGCATCTACCTCTCTACACTGACGACTACTGGAATTGTGTTATTCGACAGTATACGATGACAATTTATCATATGAGTGGTTCTGCAAAAATGGGACCAGCTTTCGATCCAATGGCGGTTGTGGATCCAGAACTTCGAGTCTATGGAACACAAGGTTTGAGAGTGATTGATGCATCCATAATGCCAACTATCACCAGTGGGAATATTAACGCTCCAGTGATGATGATCGCCGAGAAAGGGTCGGACTTAATAAAAGAATATTGGATGTCAAGATCAAAGAGAAGTAGTCTAACTAATTTTACTGCAAGTGCCGGATGAGCGAACATGTTACTTTTTACTTAAAGAATTTTTTGGGTGCATTTCAATCTTTGCGACAATGTGCCATTAGCTTGTGACCATAAGTTACCACAGATAAGCTCTTTAATAATTTACATTCTGTTTTCCTATTTTATCTATAAATTCGAAAGTTTTTCCTGACCATCATCCATCATAGATAAAAATCAACTCTAATCAAAATATACTTGTAAATCAAGGGGACAATTTCTATGTAAATATTTCGTTGTAGTTTGTCTTTCCTTGACTTTATTTATTTTCACTTTTCCGTAGAAATAATATTTTCCTTTTTCATTCATGACAAACGTATAAAATGTATATTGAACCGTCTCTAAGTTGACAGAAAAAACAAAGACAAGTGGACCAAGAAGGATAACAAATCTTTAATTTTATTCTACGGAATGTGATCAATTATTTAAGTTTTTGATAACACTTTTTTTATTATTGTACTAAAGAAAAATAATAAAAAAAAGTATTATTATTATTATTATTATTATTCATAAACAAGCTTTAATAAAAGAAATGTCACTTGAGGGAGCGAAATATAGAAAGAGTGAAGGGCAGTATTATTGTTATAGACATACCTCATTATTTCAGAACAAAATGTATGCTTTATGAAATAGTTATTTTCGTAACAAGGGCGCAAAATAGGTGATTGCGACGATGGCGAAATGAAGGGACCGAGGGGACACAATTTCGCGCCCGAGGCGAAGCCGAGGGAGCGAAAGTGTCCCCGAGGTCCCGAAATTTCGCCAAAGTCGTAATCACCTTTGCGCCCATGATGCGAACATAATTTTTTGTCCTAACTGCATGGAAAGTATGACATTGAGGGCACGCACGATTAAACGCTCATATTAGTTAAAAATTAAGCTCTATATAAACATTACATCGAATGAAGTTTATAATGATAGAAGTTTTAAAATAGAAATAAAAAACTATGTATTCTGGAAACATAGTATTTATTTAGAACGTAGTAATTAATAATTGAACAAAACTGAAACAAGAACTTTTAAAATTGACAATTTTGATAAACGAAATGGGAACAAAACCAAATGTCTCATTATTTTTTTTAGAGAAAATAAAAAAAAAATTGCAAATTTTTATAGACAAAATAAAACAAGTTGAAAATGTTTGCAGTTCTATAGTCAACATAAAAAGAAAGTCGAAAATGTCGCATTTTAATGAAGAAAATCGAATAATTAACAAGCGGGCGCAAAATACTTTTCCGCCCGCTCGGAGGTAGGGGAAGCGGGCGGAAAATACTTTACCGCCCGCTGACGTCATACAAGCGGGCGCAAAATACTTTTCCGCCCGCTTCCCCCACTCCCGGGCGTAATGTGTTACTTTGCGCCCGCCTTAAGTGCCCGAAATGACATACTTTCCGTGCAGGTAGGACAAAAAAATAATGATGATACTGTGGATAAAAATAGTTGTCACGAGTAATAATAAAAATTACTTCAATAACAAATTATTTCCTAATAGCAAATAAATTATACACGAACAATTTTATTTATTACTCGAAGCAAGAATTTTCTTTCACAGTATTTGAATACTCAGGTATAGAACAAATTTTTTTTAGGTGTAACGTATAATGAATATTTTCATGTTTTAGCCGTATGCGAATGAATCCAGTGATTACTGTGTAAAATTGTATAAAATATCTTTTAACTTTATTTAGTATTTATAATCTTTAGGCATTGAAGGATAATAATTAAATTTCGTATAATTATTTTATCAATATTTGAGACTTATATCTTATTTATTGAAATATCTAAGATATTTCAACAATATCTGTCGAGATATCTGCGTGAAAAAGAAAACTGTTCAAAACACTTTTTCCTTCTCTTATAAAAATACTTTTGTATTTAATTAACATCTTTCTTTGTGTAAATTTTCGGAAAATCCTAAAAGTCTAATGAAATAAATAATTTATTCAAAACTGACCTTTTGATGAATCATTGCACCATTATTGTGAGAATATTTTTTTTCACGTACCTGAAATAAAGAAAACAAAATTACTCCAAATGTTTAGAAATCTACAGAGAAATTGAAATATATATAGCTAAGAAAATATTTTAATTAATGTCCCTAAAAATTCGAACGAATGAACGACAATTTTTTCTACACATTTGGTTAAAATTTTAATTTTTTTAGCAAAAAATATCCCTTAAATTTTGAACGTTCAAATGAACGACGATATTTTTGGTAAAACATTGAAGGTAGGCACAAAATTTTTTAATTGATCAAAACTAAAATAAAAATTCCCCCAACATTTTTTATGTTACTTTTTTATGAAACCTACTTTGTTTTATGTTACAAATTAAACATTTATTCATAAACATTTCCTTAAAAAGTGAAAATTTAACTTTCGTCGCAAAATTTTAAAACAGAAAAAAAATTCATGACCTCTTGTTAAGTTATCTACAGAGATAATTAGACATCATATGCATGATTCGTAGAGAGAAAAAAAAATATTTGCAAATGTTTACTTCGTGACGATATAAAAAGTAATTATTACTTGCTCGCGAGAAGAAAGTGAAATTCACTCTCGTCATCTTCAATATGTATTTAACTGGACAATATCACAAAGAATGACAAAAACATGCGCAAGAGAGGCAATTGCAATTTACCATATCCAACAACAAGAATATTTATTAACAAAAATTTGCATATGGTAGAAAATTTTCGTATTTCTTTAATTGCAAAATTAGTCGAAAACATCAATAACTTCTTTTTTTAAATAAATACCTATTTCATTATTATTATAATTTTTCCATAGGAATGAAGACTTTCAAAAATTTCAAATTTAAACCTTTTTGAAATTCAACAATTTATAACAATATTATTATAAAACACAAAGAAATTGACCACTTCGAGTCTTCGACTCGGAGTGATTCATTTCTTCATGTTTTATAATAATTAAAGATGAAATTATTTTATATTATAAGAACATTCTTACTGTAACTTCATGATATAATACTATTAATATTCAATTATTATTATCTGAAAATTTAAAAATAAACAATTTATTGAATAATTTAAAGTTTTATAAAAATTGAATTCTTTTGACAAAGTTTAATAAAATTTTTAAGAATAATTACATTTTTTGAGAAATTTGATTAAAATTGCATTAAAAATATAATTGAAATCCTGCGATGATTTCTATTATTTATGAAAATAATTGAATTTCTAAAAAGAATTTTATTATTTTTGAAAATTATTGAATTCCTGTAAAAAATTTTATTATTTATGCAACTAAATGAATTATTGTAAAGAAATTTATTAAATCTTTGTAAATAATTGAATTCCAGGTAAACTGCGCTATTATTTATGAAAATAATTAAATGTTTGCTTACAATTTTATTAAATTTTTTTTTTAAATAATTGAATTCTTTTGGAAAACTGTATTAAAATAGTAGATATTGAAAATAATTAAATTGAGGAAAATTTGTGAAAATAATTGAATTTTGGAGAAGAATTCTGTTATTTATAAAGATAATTTAAAATTTTTAATAATTTTTTAACATAAATGAATTCTTGTGAAGAATTTTATTACTTTTGAAAATAATTGAATTTCGGAAAAGAATTTTGTTATTTATAAGGATAATTGAATTTCGGAAAAGAATTATTTTATTTATAAAAATAATTGAAATTTTGACGGTTTATTTAAAATTTTTTCAATCTTTGAAAATAATTGAAATTTTTAGAACAATTTTATTAAAATTTTTGAAAATAATTGAATTTCGGAAAAGAATTATGTTATTTATAAAGATAATTGAAATTTTGACGGTTTATTTAAAATTTTTTCAATCTTTGAAAATAATTGAAATTTTTAGAACAATTTTATTAAAATTTTTGAAAATAATTGAATTTCGGAAAAGAATTTTGTTATTTATAATTGAATTTCGGAAAAGAATTATTTTATTTATAAAGATAATTGAAATTTTGACGGTTTATTTAAAATTTTTTCAATCTTTGAAAATAATTGAAATTTTTAGAACAATTTTATTAAAATTTTTGAAAATAATTGAATTTTGGAAAAGAATTATGTTATTTATAAAGATAATTGAAATTTTGACGGTTTATTTAAAATTTTTTCAATCTTTGAAAATAATTGAAATTTTTAGAACAATTTTATTAAAATTTTTGAAAATAATTGAATTTCGGAGAATTTTATTATTTTTATAAAGATAATTGAAATTTTAACAAGAATTTAAAAAATTTTTTGAACATAATTGAATTTCTGTTAAGGATTTTTTTTACTTTTGAAATTAATTGAATTTTGGAGAAGAATTTTATTAAAATTTTTGAAAATAATTGAAATTTAAACGAGAATTTGTAAAAAAAATTTTGAACATAATTGAATTTCTGTGATGAATTTTATTATTTTTGAAAGTGATTGAAATTTTAAAAAGAATTTTGTTAAAATTTTAAAAAATAATTGTGTTTTGGAGAAGAATTTTATAATTTATAAAGATAATTGAAATTTTGACGAGGATTTTAAAAAATTTTTTAACTTAATTGAATTTCTGTGAAGAATTTTATTACTTTTGAAAATAATTTAATTTCGGGGAAGAATTTTGTTATTTATAAAGATATTTGAAATTTTGACGATTTATTTTAAATTTATAATTTTTTTTTAATTTTTGAACATAATTGAATTTCTGGGAAGAGTTTTGTTTACTTTAGAAAATAATTGAATTTCTGTAAAATTATAAAGAAAATCAAAATCATAAAAAAAACCAATATATCATATTAAATATAAAGATTGTTAATTAAGAAGGTAATCATTTATTTTTTCAAAATGTTCGCTTAAATAGTTTCTTAAGAAAAATAAAAGCAGATATTCTTTATTGCTTCTATTTTAAAATTAATTATTTTATTATCATTTCTAAAAAACTAAGCTCAAGAAAAAATTTGATTTAAATACAAAAAATACGATTTAAACCATAAAAATCGGATTTAAAAAAATTATGATTTTTAACCGTTCTGCAAGAATAATAATAATTACTTACTATAAATAATTTTCAAATCCGGATAAACCAAATAATATTCCTTTCCAAATGTAAACTAATTTTCAGAAAAAATGTATACTAAATAATATAATAAATTTGAAACTAAATTAATAATTTTAATTGTAATGAATTTGAAATTTTAATGCAATTTTAATCCATGAAGGAAAAATTACCTTCTGTAACTTTTTTTCTATTCTTTTCTTTTTTACTTTTTCGAAGCTTCAACACACAATTTCGTAAAGCGAGTTATAGTGAGGTTACAGAAGCCTTAAAAAATAAGTAGAACACTGATTGAAGCTTTTCTCTTCGATAACTCAGTACTATTTGTTTGTGGCTGGAGGAACAATACAACTAGTGAAAAAAAAATCCCCTTTGTCTACAAATTCAGAACATGGAATTATTTTCATTCGATTTTACATAAATTTGAAATTGACTTGAAAGTTGAATTGAAATTCAACTTTCAAAAATATCGAATTTTAGTTTGATAATAAAGAAGAAGAAGAAGAAAAAATGAACAAGGAAGCTTCGGGTACGGAAGCTGGGGCAAATTCATCTGATAAAGATAAACTCTATGAGGAACGTGGTCCAAAGACAATTGTACGACTATTGACAGTAGGAGCTTATATGTTTTCAGTGAGTTTCGCCGCACTTGTTCTCAGTGGTTATTATATCTTTTTTTGGCACCCACCCAATTCTCGACTAATTCACGCTCACGCTTCTCATTTGCGAGCCGATAATGAAATGGATTTTATGGCTGCCGATTCATTGACTGTTATTCGTGTTGATAAATCAAATCAATCTGAAATTACAAATGACAATAAGTTTCATGGAATTGATCTCGACAATAGATACTCTTATGTTTCGAATTTTAATCAGAAATTTAATCAGAATTTTAATCAGAATGAGGAAGAGTTGAGAAGACAAAGGGAGGAAGAAAATCGAGGAAATGATTTGGCTAAGAAAATGGTATTAGAATTATTTTATTACGATTTAAATTTGGAAATTATAATTTGAAGCTTAGATCAAATTTAATCTTAATTAAGAATCTAATCTCAGTTAATTAAGAATTTAGTCTCGTTTAATTGAGAATTTAATCTCGTTTAATTGAGAATTTATTCTAATTTAAATTTAGAATCTCATTGAGAAAATATTTACGAAGAAACCATAAGATAAAAAATAAAATAAAAACAATAAATAGTAATATAATCAAGGAATATTTTTTTTTCGTAATTTATAAAAATTCAGAAATACTTTACTTGAATTTCAAATATTTTTGGCTTTGTTGAAATATTTTCTCTTGGTATTTTCTTACTGATAAATGTTGTAATTTTTAAGTGACAGAAGAAAAAATATTTTCTAACTAGATATAGAATTTTAGGATTATTATTTTATTTTTTTATTACTATTTTTATTTATTAATCAAACCAATTAAGATTTTACAAAATAAAATAAATCGAAAATGAGTGACAATAATTTAGATCTGTAAATAAAAATAATTATGATCCAAAAACGCGAAATGTTCAAATGAACAAAAATTTATGTTCATAAAAATATTTTGAAAAATTGACAATTGCATTAAAAAAACGAAAATAAAATTTAACGATTTGAAACTTTGCAAATAAATTTTTAATACGTGAAGCAACATCTTTATAAGATTTAAATTTGAAAAATAAATCAATTTTGTTTATTTGAATTTTAAAAATTTTGTGAAAATAGATCATTAAAATTTACTAGTAAAGATAATAAATATTTTTCTCTAACATTAATTATGTTTGTACAAAATAATCCAAAAATTCTGAATGTTTAAATGAACGAAATATTTTTTTCGAAAAAAATATATTAAAAAATGTCTGCTTGTATTTAAAAATCAAAAACGTAAATTAAATATTTTAAAACTTCATAAATTATTTTTTAAATAAGTAGAATAATATTATTGCAATAGAATCTTTATTTAAAAATTAAATAAAGGAAAAATAAACATTTTAGGAAAAAAAACGTTTCTTAATATTTTTGTAGAAAATTTTTAATTTTCATAAGGGAATAATTTACATTATTTCAATTTTGTTTTAATTACAATTGTTTTAATAAAATTCAAAGTTTTTTTTAAAAATAAACGAAACAAATGTTTATAAATTCTATTTGTCAATTACAAATTTTCATTGAAAATGAAAATTTTTTCATTTTTAGAAAATAAAGGAAAAAATTTTACTCAAAAAAAAATGTTCCGTTACATTGTTACGAATTTCTTTAATTGTAAAATTATTCAAAAACATCAATAATTTCTTTTTTAAATAAATATTTAATTATTATTTTATTTCCACAGGAATTAAGACATTAAAAAATTCCAAATTCAAACCTTTTTGAAATTAAACAACTTATAAAAGAATTTTGCTATAAAACATGAAGATATTGATTGCTCCGAGTCGAAGACTCGGAGTGATCGATTTCTTTATGTTTTATAATAATTTATAATAACTAAAAATTTATGAAAATAATTGAATTATTGCGAAGAAATTTATAAAAAATTGAATAATAATAATTAATAATAATTGAATTCCTGTGGAATTTTTAATATTTTTGACAATAATTAAATGTTTGTGAACGATTTTATTAAATTTTTTTCTAAATAATTGAATTTTTCTCGAAAAACTTTATTAAAATAGTAGATATTGAAAATAATTGAAATTAGGACAAGAATTTTATTGTCATTTTTTAAAATAATTGAACTTTGGGGAAAAATTTTGTTATTTATAATGATAATTGGGATTTTGACGAGAATTTTTTTTTTTAAATTTTAAACATAATTGAATTTTATGAGAAGAGTTTCATTACTTTTGAAAATAATTGAATTTCTGCAGTAAATTATTTGGAATTTCTCCAAAATTGAATTATTTTAGTGTTTTCAACAAAAATTTGAATTTAAAAATGTTAAATTCTATTATTTTTAAAATTGATAATTTTATTTAAAAAATGAAGGAAAAAGTAAGCCGTTCCTAGTTATATAATATTTTTCTTGTCACTTTCTTAAATAAATAAATATAGTGGATTAAATATATAAATTTATTTAATTAATATATTTTTATATTTTGATATAATTAGATTGTTTGGATGAATTTTTATATTTCGGAATTATTTTCAGGACACCAATAAAATCAAATCCAACGAAGAGACATCACACCAAAAATCAATTGAAAATACTCAATTGTCAATGAATAATAAAAATTTAACAACTGAAAGGCGGAAAATTTCTACAAATAATGAAATAACAAATGAAAAAGCAAAGAAGTCAGATAATTCAATGTCAGCAGAGAAATTGAGTCAAGAAAACTCAAAGAAAACCAATGAAAAATATAATTCTTTAAATTCCGATAATATCAAGATATTCAATAATTTTTTAAAAATTTTGTAACAAACGAATTTATAAATTTTCTTTTGTAGAATTTTTTTTTTTAATAATAGGCTGTGCTTATACAAAAATAAATAAGAAATGAAATAAAACTATAAATTTTCATCTATTATTATAACATTTATAACTATAATAAAATTGAGGAAATTATTATTAAATTTAAAACAGTAATTATAAACAACAATTAACGACAAAATTATAAACTAATAAATGGAAATAAACAAAAAATGTGAAATAATTTTTTCTCAATAATGAATTAAACTATTAATAAATTATTAAGTATTAAGTCATTAATAAAAAATGTAAATTCTTATATATTAAAAATGTGTAAAATATTTTCGTAAAATTGTAAAATATTTTGCTCGTTAACTGAGATTGTGAAGATTTCTATAAATTTTTAGAAACTATCGAAACGATTCGAAATCTTGGAAAGGAGCGCAATCTAGAGACGAAGTAATGAGTTTAAAGACCAAAATTAATTTCCGGCTGATAAAATGGTTTCCTACAATTTTAATTTTTTAAATAATTAATTTTAATTTTTCAAATTATTAATTTCAATTTTGCAAATAATTAATTTTAATTTTTCAATTAATTAATTTTAATTTTTCAATAAACTTAAAATTTTTTTTAATAATTTTTAATTTCAATCTATTATTATTATTTATTATTTAAATAGTCTATAAATAATAAAAAGTCTATTTAATTATTACCAATCAGAAAAGTTATTTTTCTACAAAGAGAATTTGCACTATACAATAATTGTAACAATCGAAAAATAATTATTTATTTTGCTCTAAATATAGAAAACAAAAAAAAATTAAATATTTAAACTAAAATAAATAATTATATTTGATTTAGGAAATATATTATAAACAATAACCTATCAATATAATGTGATACATTATATATTCTAATAACTTATATAATAGTGTAAAAATATTTACTTTATTTAAATCGTCAATATCGAGAGAGAAAATATACTTTGCGGAAATAAAAAGTGAAATTTAATAACATACCAAATAATTTGTCGCAAATTATTATTGAACTTGGATCCTAAATGTTAACAACACATTTTTAATGCACGCAATCCCTCCGAATTTTAGAACCAATAAAATTTATTACTTAATTAATTGTTTTGAAATTTGTATTTCGAATTTAAAAAATTTTTGATTCCGAATTTTTAATTATGAATATATTAATTATTATTTACAATATTTATGATAATTTTTGTTTAATAACATTTTTATAATTATTATTTGAAATAAAATTTGAAATAAAATTTAATTAATTAATTCATTTAATTTTTCAAATTTAAATATTTGAAATAAAAAAATTATTTTGCGCAAATAAAATGTTTTTTGGTGGAAATTAATTTTTATTCGAAATAACATTTTTTAATCAACATTTTTTTAAATTAAAAGTTTTTTAATATTTACTTATTTCGAATAAAAAATTTTAATTTTGCACAAATAAAATGCTTATTAATGCAAATTAATTTTTTATTCACCTCCATTTTTTCGATAAACATTTTTTTTATTTAAAAGCCTTCTAATATTTACTTATTTCGAATAAAAAATTAATTTTGCACAAATAAAATGCTTTTTGGTGCAAATTAATTTTTTATTCAAAATAACATTTTTTTAATGAAAAGCCTTCTAATATATTTATTTATTTCGAATAAAAAATTAATTTTGCACAAATAAAATGCTTTTTGGTGCAAATTAATTTTTTATTCACCTCCATTTTTTCGATAAACATTTTTTTTATTTAAAAGCCTTTTATTGTAATTTATTTCGCACAAAATATTTATTTTTCATAATAGAACTACTTTTTGGTGAAAATTAATATTCTATATAAATATTATTTTTTAATTAACAATTTTTTAAATAAATAAATATTGTTTAAAAATATTTTTTTTGGAAAAAAGTTTGGTAACAATTTAAAAAACATTTCTTTTAAATTAAATCAATTTTTCTTTTTAAAATAAGTAAACTACTGAAAGAAATAACTAAACTATTGAAATAAATAAATAAATTATTAAACTTTGAGTCAAATTTACCTTCTTCTTTTTATCACTAAAAATAAATTAAAAAAACAATTGAAACAAATTATTATTTATTAAATTTACTCATCTTTTATTTTTTTACCAAAAAAAAAAAAAAAATTGACAATTCATTTCTGATGAATACACATTAAAGGACAAACCACCAGAGATTTTATCTAATGTTTATTATTTCTCATCTCCTTGAAAAGGAAAAAATTCGTGTTCAAGTTTTTTTTTCATAACATTTTTATTCTTTTGAGATAATCGGCTTTAATTTACGACATTTATGCAAGGCCAAGGTTTATGGAATCTTGTTAAAGTTAAATGAGACAATTTAGACATTCATACATAAAAAAACATTTAACGATAGAGCCTGAATGGCACATAGACCGAGAAGAGAGAAAGTACTCCGATAGAATCGCATTGGCAACTCTCATGAAAGCAAATAAAGAGAGAAAGACAGAATTATCTTTTTCAAAAATTAATATATTCTCCTAATGCGATGAGACCAATAATTGAAAATCAAATTTAAAAAAATTTTTCTCTATACTTTTACTACAAAAATAGAAATAATTGTCAAAATCATTTTTTTTTTCTTGAAATTTTCTTTCTGATTTTATCAGCGCATTATAATCAAAATTCTATTCACATTGTTATGGCTTCAATTTGTAACATACGTGACGAATATCACGTAAATAAATCCTTTCTCAATTTCATTTCGTGTATAATTTTATGAATGGACAAATTTCTCCAAGCAGTGTCTGTATATTTTTATTCTAATTTTTTTTTTTATTCTAATATTGAAATTTGTCCTCTTATGTAATATCAAAAATAACCCGAAGGAAAATTAGTCAAAATATTTGCCATAATTAGTAAAAAAAAAAAATATTTTCAGGGCCATCTTGAGAGAAATAAAACTTTCACGATATATGAATAAAATTAATCGAAAATCGAAGACGCGATAGAAAGTTTCGTAGTTTATCTACTTTTGGCAATAATTTCACTGCAGTGTGAAAAATTATTTACTTAAAGTTTCACACATTTAATTGAACGAAATTTTCTTTTTTAAATATTTTCAAAAATTACTGTACTTTAATGATAAATAATGTAAATTATTAACCTATTATTTACTTGAAAAAGTTTCCTAAAGTTCAAATCAACGAAATTTTTTTCGTGAAAATAAAAATAAAAATTTTAAATTAAAATATTTTTGAAAATTTACTAAATAAAAAGGAAAATTTTCATTTCTTCTTACTCAAGGATTTACAAAATTAAAAATTACATTTTAATTAAGAAATTACAATTTTTTTGTTACCTAAATAATTTCTATTTCATATAAATTTTATTTGAGTTCCCTAAAAAGCTTTGAATGAAATTTTTTTTCTGTATAAATATTTTCAAAAAATACTATACAAAAAAAATAATTGTAAATTAAACATTTGCTTACTTGAAAATTAATTTTTCCAATTAATTTTCCAAATAATTTTTTATAGAAAATTACCAATTAAAAGTTAAACTATTACATCGTCATTCATTTGAACTTTAAAAACATTTTTTATTCAAGTTACATAAATTGTGCACTGAAAAAAAATTATTTGATTCAAGTAAATATTTAATTGATAACAAATATCGGTTATTTGAATCAAATAAATTTTTTTCAGTGTGTAATTGAATCAATAATTTTAGTATTTAAAAACAAATATAAATTGAACCATTTAATTGTTTAAATAAAATGTTTTTGTTTCAAGAAAATATTTATTTGATTTTTTTTAATTAACATTTTTTTTATTTAAAAGCCTTCTAATATTTACTTATTTCGAATAAAAAATTAATTTTGCACAAATAAAATGCTTCTTGTTGCAAATTAATTTTTTATTCGAAATAACATTTTTTAATGAAAATCCTTCTTATAAATTTACTTATATTTATAAATATAAATTGAACCATTTAATTAATTTAGATAAAATGTTTTTGTTTCAAGAAAATATTTATTCGATAATAAATATTATATTTAATTGATTTAGATAAAGAATATTTTGTTTCAAGAAAATATTTATTTTGATAATAAATATTATTATTTAAATAAAATCAATTTTTTTCATAAATAATCTAAACAAAAATTAATTATTTAATTCAAGTAAACATTTACTTTGGTACCAGTCAATTAATAAATCACTCGATTCTAGTCAATTAAGTGATTATTCGATTAAAAATAAATTTCCCTTCAGCATCAGTGCAAAACGACAATAAATTATTTTTAATTTACAAAAAACGACAAATTAAATTCCAATAATTGAAAATAATTTCTTTCCTCCTCGCAACTAAATTGAATTAGCAAAAACACTTAATTTATACGAGTGTAGTTTCAACTGTAACCTAGATTTCAAGAATAAAATCATTATAATTCCGAAGAGTAATTTATAATGAAGAAATGTGTACCGAACCAAATATTAAAATCCTATAAACAAAAATACAAAAAAAGACTAGTATTTTTTTTTCACAAGACACTAAAAGTCAAGTGAATATTCGCAACAAAAAAAAAAAAAGTTCTAAAATATTATAAAGCCACGTGTAATAATATGAAGAAGGTAAATGAAAAGCATCAGAGGGGGACTGACTGGTTTTCACTCTTTAGCCTTCACCATACAGCGCACACGGCACAAACTCTCCGGAATCAGCCGGCATTGCTCTTGAAAAGAAATTCTTGCCAATATTCTCAATTTATATTCCCAACTTATTTTCTTATTTTCCCTAAAAAAAATTCCCTAAAAATCACTACGAATTTTCAAACGTAAAAAAAAAGTTCATCAAAATTATGCGATTGTGCAAAAAAGTGTATGTGAGTTTTAAGAGACCACCGGATCCGTGACAAATAACGGTAAGTAGTATTTTTTTTACAAATATACTCACAAGTTTTTTAAAAAAAATATACAAATATTCCTTTTTTAAACATATTTTTAATTGAAAATAATATTCTTGTCTTTTTTTCCAAACTGAATATTAAAAAACACATTTTAATGGAATATAGTTGGAATAAAAAAATGAAGAAAGTGAAGAAAGTGACAGAAGGCATTGAATTTAAAGTATATACTCTGTGTTTCTCATGCAGAATTCTAAGTTAGACATTAACTCAATTTCACTTCCAACCAATATTGAAAAATCACTACAATTCAATTCTTGTCAAATTATTTATTAGCTAAACCGTTTATATATCTGATTAGTGTGCGGCAAACACAAAAAGTATATTAAAAAATTCTATATTCATTTCTTTCGTTCAAATCTCATTAAACAATATTTCTTACGAATTAAATTAAATATATAATTTAATAAACAATAAGTTCATTTTTTTATAAAAATATAAAAAAAAACTTTCACATTTCAGAAAGCTCTTATTATTTTTATAGAGACTTAATCTAGATTCATTATGTGTCCGACAAATTGTCGTCTATTAAATCATTAAAGTAATGCACGTTTCAACAATGTGTTTTTTTTTTTAAATGTGTCATTGTTGTAAATGATTATTAATAAAAATTGTTAACAATATTTAACAATTTTTCTTCTTTTTATTTACGTTAAAAAATATATATGTTAATAAAAATTGATTATTATTAATTTATTTTATGTATTTTTTTAATTATATGTCTTAATTATTAATTTATTATAAGGTTATAATTATTATTAATCAAAAATTAATTGTTATTAATTAGTTAAATTTAACAACGTTTGTTTTACCATTAATTATTTATTATTAGTTTCTTATTTTATTTGATTTATACTTTTATTAATGTTTTATTACTAATTTATTATTAATTTTTATTAATCCAAAACACGTGTGTTAAAAAAAATTAATTATTATCAAACAAAAACTAATTATTATTATAATTAATACCAATTATTTATTATTGTTTCTTTATTTTTTTTTATTTATACTTTTATTATATTTTATTACTAATTTATTATTAATAATTACTTTAAAACTAATTTTTAGTAATTATTTAAATTCAAAAAACGTTCCTGTTAATATTTATCATAATTTAAAGTTCAACTTTAACTTAAAAAAACTTAGTTTTTTTTTTAATAATTTAAAAGCTATAAATTAGTAAAAATCGAAAACTAGAAATAGAAAAATTAAAATCGAGAAATAGAAATCGAAAAATAAAAATTCTGAAATATTTACTTCCATAAAAAAAATAAGGACCTAATCTTTGATTTTCTAGATAAAGAGGACGTGAATTTCTGATTACAAAACGAAGAAATTAATTAATTAATGAATATCTCAAGGAGAGAGAGAAAAAATGCCGATTGGCTTGACAACTTTGGCCGGAACCGCATCGCTTTTAGGGTGGGGTTTAATTCCACTATTTGCGATTGGCTTCACTGTTTTTCGATACCAAAATGCCGATCCAGAAACTCATCCAATCAATGCTCAAGAGGTAATATAATATTTAAAAATTCAAAAATCAAATAATTAAATTACAAAAATTATAAAAATAAAAAAAATAATAATAATACCCTATTTTGACTTAAAATTATCTATAAAAATTTTAATTCCTAAATATTTCAAAGTGAAATCGTATAGGCAGAAAGTCAATTCAAAAATTATAGTCCAACTCAATGTTTCTGCCTGTTTTTTATAATCAAACAGCAATTTATAATATTAAAAAAAATCTTTCAGGGAAAGTGTTAACAACTTTATTTTACGTCAGTGAAATTTACAACTTTTATGATCAACAATTAAAAGAAAAAAAATATTTTTCACTTAAAAAGTTTATTTGTTTGCCATTCTTTTCCTTTAACTGTCGATCAAGAAATATTATAAACATTTTTTTTTTTAATAGACAATTTAAATTTTCATAAAAATTTAAATCCAGAAAATCATTGTTTTATTCTAAATCGTTTGTTATAATTGTTGTGAAATTCACCAGTTTTACTATTGCCTCCACTTTAGATCATTAAAATTTGACATTGAATGAAGATGACAAAGGCAACAAAAAAAATGTTCTGTTCCTAAAGTTTCGAATGAATCAAGAAAACGACGATATTTTAAATACTTTTTTTTACTTTTATTAAAACAAATTTAACTTATATAAGTTTTAAAAAATTTAATTGTCATTAAATAATAAATATTCTCAATTTAAAAAAAAATCATCTTAAATTGAACATTCAGTATACTTAACATTCTGTCTTTACCGCAAATAATTATTCAAATGATAATTTCCTCATTAGAAAAACTGTAATTAAAATAGTTATGTTTTAAAAAAAATAGCATTCAAATGAAGAAAAAAAAGTAACTGTTTACGATGTATGGAAATTTGGTTGACACAAATTTGAATATTCTATATACACATGAAAGTGTTAGGACAAGGATGAGTTATGTCACACAGAATCTCTAAGAAAATAGAAAGTGATATTTTTCCAATAAAATTGAATTTTTAAACAGCAAGGTCTACACATTGGTCATGAAATCGTATATTCCAACATCATTAAATCTTCCTTTAAAGCATTATCAAAAATTTGAGATTATTTCATCGATAAAAAAAAGTTTCAAAGTTACATCACTATAAATGTTATATCATCAAAGACTATTAAAAAAAAAAATTACAATAATCAAGAAGCAGCTTATCTCATAAAAAGGAACACTAATTTATAGTGAGGCTCAATGTTTTCAAAAGAGAGAAAAATTATCTCAAAACGAATTCAATTTTATTTTAAAAAAATTTTAATAAAATTGTATGTAAACATTTGATTATTTTCATAAATAATAATTTTTTTTAATCAATTCAATTATTATTTTCATGAAAAATAATTAAAAATTCTAGAAAATAATAATTGAATTAAAATGATGAAAATAATTTTGATGAAGTTACAGTAACAATATTCTTATAATATAAAATAAAGATTTTATTACTTAGTCATCTTTAATTATTATAAAACATGAAGAAATCGATCACTCCGAGTCTTCGACTCGGAGCAATCGATATCTTCATGTTTTATAACAAAAATACTTTTATAAGTTGTTTAATTTAAAAAAGGTTTGAATTCGAAATTTTTGAATGTCTTAATTCCTGTGAAAAATCCTGTTCCAAAAATAAGATTAAAAATAGAAATTGTGCAAATATTTTTCTTCTTTTTCTAAAACAAAATAATAATTTTATTACAAAAATTGTGATTCATAAACAAAAATAATGCAAAATAAATAAATTTTCTATTTCTCAATCACAGTTGTTTAACAAATTTCTAATTTTGCTTAGAAGTAAAGAACAAAAATCTGCATAATTTCAATTTGACAAAACATAATATTTAACGAAATTTTAGTCTTTTAATGAAAAGAAGTGAAAAAAATTCTGATGATTTCTATTTGTCATTACAATTTTGAATTAATTATAAAATAAAAATAATTATAACATAATAATAAAATATACAATCTATCTAACTAAAGTTAACAAAAATCAAAAGTATAAACAAAAGACAACTTCAAAACGTGAGGGACAAAAAAAGTGAATGAATGAAAGAACATTCAAATTATTATAGTTAATTATTTATTTAAAATTTAAAATAGACGCATTTTACTCAAAAACACTAAAAAAAAAATTGAATTTTGGAAAAATTATAAATGACTGCATAAATTCAATTATTTTCAAAAGTAATACAATTCTACTCCAAAGTTCAATTATTTTTAAAATTTTTAATAAAATTCTTGGCAAAATTCAATTTTAAAAAAAATTTTAATAATATTTTTGACAAAATTGCAATTATTTTCAAAAATTTTCCTGAACTTCATATATGAATACAAATTACAAATTACAAATTTTTTATAAGTTTCTTCGAAATAATTTAATTATTTTCAATAAATAATCAAATTTTTCACAGGTATTGAATTATTTACATAAATAATAAAATTCTTCTTAGGAATAAGAATAAATTTTTAGAAATAATTAAATTTTGAAAAGGTTTCAGATTAAAATCTTTGAAAATTTTGAATTTTTCACATTTATTAACTGACAATTCTGTTGAATTAATTTTTTTATACAGGGATTCAATTATTTTCATATAAATAATAATTATTTATTTTTGCATTTAAATAATTGAATTCTCGTAGAATTTTCTAATAAAAATTGATTTAAAAATGAATTTCAGTTAAAATTTTAGATTTGAATATTTATTATTCAAATTATTCAAATATTCAAATATTATTTGAATATTAAAAGCATGAATTTTAATAAATAATTGAATTTTGAAAATGTTTTAAATTATATTCTTTGAGAATCTTAATTTTTCATACTTATAACCATCAATTCTGTAGAATTAATTATTTTAAAAAAAGTTTAATTGAATTTTATTTCTAAAATTATTTCAAGTGTTTATTTTTTAATACGTATTCAATTGAAGAATTTCTGAATAATTGAAATTTCACGTAAAATTGAATTGTAAACAAATAACAAATTGATTTAAAAATTCTCAAAGAAGAACTTTTTCAAAAAATTATTAAAGATAATTGATTTAAAGAAGAAATTTTATTTTAAAATTCTAGAAAATAATAATTGAATTAAAATGATAAAAATAATTTTTTTTAAAATACAGTAAAAATATTTCTATTATATAAAATAATGATCTTAACACTCGGTTATCTTTAATTTATAATAAATATTCTTATAAGTTGTTGAATTTCAGAAAGGTTTGCATATGAATGTTTTGAAGAATTTTAATTCCTACGGAAAAATAATAATGATTAAATATTTACTTCGAAAAGAAGTTATTGATGTTTTCGAATAATTTTACAATCGTTTTTAACAAATAGAAATTTTGTAAATATATTTCCGAAATAAATTTAAAATTTCTTAAATAAAATTTGATTATTTATAACATTTTTTTTGTACTTAAAACTTGTATGTACTTTGTTTATGAATTGTAATTGAGAACCAGAAAATGTGCAAAATATTGTCTACTTTATAATTTTAATTTTCCAACCATTTTTTAATTTTTTTTTAGAAAAAAGGAAAATATATGGAATCAGTATTCTGACTCCAAGTTTTTTTTTGTAAAACACAATTTTTTTAAAAGCTGTTTTTAAATTACTTAAAATTCTTCTTTGTAAATTTGTAATTTGTATTCTACTTTTAAAAATCAGTGAATTTGAACTGATTTCAAAGCAAAAAGGTGCGACTATTACTTTATTAAATTATTTTTTAAAATTAGTTTATATATTTATAATGTAAAACATAGATGAGCTTATAAATTATTTGCCTCATCATTAAAAATTATTTTGCTTCTTTTAATTCTCGATAAATTCTTTACATATTTGCCTATTTTTGCAGCTATTGCCAATGTATGACTTCATAGTCGTCGGGGGTGGAAGTGCCGGGGCAGTGGTAGCGTCAAGATTATCAGAAATTACAAATTGGAATATTCTGCTATTGGAAGCTGGCAGTGATGAAAATGAAATATCAGACGTGCCAGCATTGGCTGGTTACACACAATTATCTGACTTTGATTGGAAATATAAAACATCATTTCCAACAACTTCGGCTTATTGCCTCGCCATGGTCGGAGATCGATGCAATTGGCCACGAGGAAGAGTTCTAGGTGGAAGTAGCGTCTTAAACGCTATGATCTACGTACGAGGAAATAGGCAAGAAATACTAATTTTTATTTTTTATCACTAATTTCCCAAAGTTTAATAATATGTGACAGGGACAGTTAAAAGAAACCTACGGTTCGAAAAAATCAATTTTTTAACATTTAGTGATTCTGATAGAAAAAAAATTGTCTCTATCAGAATCACTAATCAATAAAAAATTTATTTTTTCGAACCGTAGGTTCCTTTTAACTCTCCCTATCATATATATTTTTTTGGAATAAAATTTCTTTCTGTGTACCTTTCTTGGAAGTGCTTTTCAAATATCTTTTAAAGACACTATATTTTCAAGACACTATTAATAAAAAACAGTAGATCGAATATAATTTTCTTGTTACGTGAAAACAATTTATGCCTTGGAGAATATTATAGGAATAATAACGATTCGAAGCAAACGTTAATAACTGATAGTTACTTAAAATCAAGGAATATAATATCCTAACCACAAAGACTTTCTGACTCGTAAACATCATCCTTGCTGTTCTGAGTTGTGCAACTTGACACATTTTGTTTTATGCAATCTGAATTTTATCTAAATTAAATATGGACTTTATCTGCAAAACTATGAAGGAAACTAGTAATTTATTTATTTATATAAACGGGATGAATGGTTATAAAGTCAAGTATTTCTTGTTATCAACACAGTTAATTAGTTGAAACCTAAGCACTAAACCACTTTCATAAAATACTTCCAATTGTATGATCTGTTAATTGAAATATATAAGCAGACTTCGCATTCGATAATTAATTTTAAAACAATAGCAAAAAGTAGCTTTTAAACTAAAAAAAGTAGTAAAAAAATTTCTATTGAAAAATTAAAATTGACGACCAAAAAAAACTAGTTTTAGAAACTTCACAAAACTGACAAAAATTCCTGCAGCGAATTTCATATTATTTATGAAAGATAATTTAAATATTTATAAAAATAAGTTAATTCTTGCGAAGAATTTTAGAGAAATTTTTAAATAATTCCTTTCTTTCGACTAATTTTATGCAAATTCTAATTTAAATAATTGAATTCCTGAGAAATTTTTATTATTCATGAAAAGAATTGAATTCTTATAAAGATTTTTACAACGAATTTTTTAAATAATTGTATTCTGTTTGGTATTATTATTTTAAATAATACTATTCTGAAAATAGTAGATTTGAAAAATCATTGTTGTGCGAAAAGTTTTTAAAAATAAATAAATTTTACAAAAAATTCTATTAAAATTTTTTAGAATAATGTAATGTCTGTGTGGCATTTTATTACATTTTTTTGAAAATAATTGAATTTCTAAGAAAAAATGTATTACTCTTAAAAAAATTTAAATTCTTGTGATGAATATTGTTATTTATGAAAATAATTCAATTTTGCAAAGAATTTCATTAAAATGACACATAATAATTAAATTTTTCCAAACAATTTAAAAAAAAATTTGTTTAATAATTGATTTTTTTGAGGAATTGAAATTAAGTTTTTAAAAATAATTACATTTTTTGAGCAATTCCTGTAAAATTGTATTGAAAATAATTAAAATCCTTCGATGAATTTTGTTATTTGTGAAAATAATTGAATAGTTGCTAAGAATTTTATTAAAATTTTCAAAAATAATTGAATTCCTGAGAAGGATTTTATTACTTATGAAAATAATTGAATTTTGCAAAGAATTTTATTTAAATGTTTCAAAATAATTGAATTTTCGGAAATAATTTTGCTATTTATCGACATAATTGAATTCTTTTGAACAATTATTTATGTAAATAATTGAATTCTTGGAAAGAATTCAATTAAAATCCAAAAGAATAATTGAATTTCAAAAAAATTGAATTAAAATTCTACTTAAAATAATTGATTTTTTTACGTACAAATTGATTAAACTATTTGAAAATAATTGAATTCCTGTGAAAAATTCTAATATTTTTGTAAATAAATGAATTTTTCTAAACAATTTTAAAAAATTGAAGAATTGAAATTAAATTTTTAAGAATAATTACTTTTTTCGAGCAATTCCGGTAAAATTGTATTAAAAATAATTGAATTTTCGGAAATAATTTTGTTATTTATCTTTAATAATTGAATTCTTTCGAAGAATTATTCATGCAAATAATTGAATTCTTGGGAAAAATTTTATTTAAAATCTAAAAGAATAATTGAATTATTTCAAAAAAATTTAATTAAAATTGTATTCAAAATAATTGATTTCTTTCCAACAATTTTATTAAAATATTTGAAAATATTTGAATTCCTGTGAAAAATTCCAATATTTTTGTAAATAATTGAATTCTTCTAAAGAATTTTAAAAAAATCATTTTTTTAAATAATTGATTTTTTCCATGAATTAAAATTAAATTTTTAAGAATAATTACATTTTTTGAGCAAATCCTGTAAAATTGTATTAAAAATAATTGAAATACTTCGATGAATTTTATTATTTATGAAAATAATTGAACAGTTGCTAAGAGTTTTATTAAAATTTTCAAAAATAATTGAATTCCTGAGAAGAATTTTATTATTTATGAAAATAATTGAAATATTGCGAAAAATTTTATTGAAATGTTTAAAAAGAATTGAATTTCTATTAAAAATTTTATTATTTGTAAAAATAATTGAATTTTTCGATTAATTAATTTAAAAGAGTATTAAAAATAATTGAAATTCTTCGATGAATTTTGTTATTTATGAAAATAATTGAATTCTTGCTTAAAATTTTATCAAAAATTTGTTTTAAAAAATTGAATTTCCATGACAAATGTTATTATTACTGAAAGTAATTGAATTATTGTGAAGAATTGTATAAAACTTTGTTAAATAATTGATTTTTTCGAAAATGCTATTCTAAATTAATTGAATTCCTGTGGAAATTTTATTATTTATGAAAATAATTGAATTTTATCAATTCTTTTTTAAATAATTGAATTCTTTTGCGAAATTTTATGTAAATACTATAGATATTAAATTTGGAATATTTTTTGAAAATAATTGAATCGCTTTAAACTTTAAAGAATTTGATTATAAAATTTTTGAGAATAGTTTTTTGGTTTCTAGTATTAGCGAATTTAAAGTAGTGAAAATTCTAAAAAAAAAATACAGAATAGTTGCTTTTAGTGGCTGAAATCTAAAAAAAGTACCCAAATAGTAGCATAACGTGAAAAAGTAGTAAATAATAGGTTTTAGTAGATGAGTGCGAAGCCTGAATAAGTCACTTTTCTTCAACATGAATGTAGCATAAAGTTGCTAATTTCTGCATAGTTGATAGTATACCAAAAAATGTACTTTTCTTCACAGTTTCTGCTAAACAGATGTTACATAAAGTACCTTTTAGCTTCTCAACTAAAAAGAAGATGCTTTCCGATGAGTTTGTAATTTGCTGCTTGAGCGAAGCGAGAGCAGTAAATTACCAAACTCATCGGAAAGCATCATCTTATTCTCCCCGTTGTAAAATTGAATCAAGACCTAAAATTGAATTAAAACCTAAAATAAAATTGAACGCAACTGAATTATAAATATTACTTACAGGCTCGACTACGACAACTGGGCTCGACTCGGCAACACTGGATGGAGTTACGACGATGTGTTACCCTACTTCCTAAAATCGGAGGACAATAGAAATCCTTATCTCGCACGAACACCATATCACAGCACCGGTGGTTACCTAACCGTTCAAGAAGCACCATGGAGATCGCCACTGTCCATAGCCTTTCTTCAAGCCGGCGCCGAACTGGGTTACGAGAATCGCGACATCAATGGCGCCAATCAAACAGGCTTCATGTTGGCTCAAGCCACAATGCGACGTGGCAGCAGATGTTCCACGGCAAAAGCCTTTCTACGTCCCGTGCGAAACCGTAAAAATCTTCACATAGCCATGAACTCCCAAGCTTTGAAGTTCGTCTTCAATGAAGATAAGCGAGCAACTGGTGTCGAATTTCTCCGCAATGGTGTTCGACAAACGATAAAAGTCCGTCGTGAAGTTGTCCTATCGGCAGGGGCGATTAATTCACCGCAATTGCTGATGCTGTCGGGTATTGGTCCCAAGGAGCATTTAGCACAATTTGGAATACCGGTTTTATCCGATCTTCGTGTTGGGGACAATCTTCAGGATCATGTGGGTCTCGGTGGTTTGACATTTTTGGTGAATGAACCAATAACGGTCACGAAGCAACGTTTTCAAAATTTTCCGGTCATGATGGAGTATATTTTGAACGAGAGAGGACCGATGACCACGCCAGGTGTGGAGGGTTTGGCGTTCGTCAATTCCCGATATGCCGACAAGTCCGGCGACTATCCGGACATACAGTTTCACTTTGCGCCGAGTTCGGTGAATTCTGACGGTGGCGATCAGATCCGTAAAATTCTGGGTCTCAGGGACAGTGTCTACAATACCATGTACAAACCTCTGGTCAATGCCGAAACGTGGACAATTCTCCCACTGTTACTACGACCGAAAAGTTCCGGTTGGGTTAGGCTCAGAAGCAAAAATCCACTAGTCTATCCCGACATCAATCCTAATTACTTCACTCACAGGCAGGACATGGACATCTTAGTGGAAGGAATCCGAATAGCAATGGCCGTATCAAACAGTTCGGCTTTTCAGAGATTTGGCTCAAGACCCCTACGAACAAAAATGCCCGGTTGCCAAAAGTTCCCATTCGACACCTACGAATACTGGGAATGCGCCATCAGACACTTCACTTTTACGATCTATCATCCGACGGGAACTTGTAAAATGGGTCCGAAGGATGATCCAACAGCGGTTGTTGATCCTCGATTACGGGTCTATGGCGTGAAAGGTCTAAGGGTCGTGGACGGATCCATCATGCCGGTGATAATGAGCGGGAACCCGAATGCGCCGATTATTATGATCGGCGAGAAAGGCAGCGATATGATCAAGGAAGATTGGCGGGTTAAGAGTAAACAAGTCGGTAGATGACAGTGGTGATGTTTAGGTGGACTAAAACACTTTTAATATGAAAGTGGAACTAGTTTTAGGCAAGAATCTTATTTTTATTATTTAAATCAGATTTATGTAAATAGATAGAAAACAAAATCTTGCTCAGTTTGACATGTGCCTTCAAATCCTAGTCTAGAGTTATTTTTCCGTGTGTTTGTATTTAATATTATTTGTGAAATACCAAAGAAGCTCATGTACAGTTTGTAATCTGTAATTTTTTATTACTTTTTGGGGAGAGTTGTAGATTGTCCATTTAATTTCTGTTATCCCTGAAGTTAACGTCGATAACTATTTTTTTGGGGTTCTTTTTTCCCCTAGGGATTTAAAACTTCTTTTACGAACTTTTCTAACTTGAAACCTTTGAAAGAATTGTTTTCCTCTTTTCGATTTCGTGAAAAAAAATTGTTTTCGACGCCGAAAGTCGACGACAACTTCAGGGGTCCTAATTTTTGAAACCCCTGAAAACTTAGCGACGAAATTCAGTCTTGAAAACTACTTTTGGGGTTCTTTTTTCCCCTAGGGATTTAAAACATTTTTTCGTAGCATTTTTGTAACTTGAAACCTTTGAAAAAATTGTTCGATTTCATGAAACGAAACGTTTTTCGACGCCCAGCGTCAAAAACTAATATTTGGAGTTTTTAGAGACAAAAATATCACTAATTTCACTTCTTTCCTTTAGATAGAGAGCTCAAAAATATTTTCTTCGTATTTTTTAATCTAAAATCAACGAAAAAAATTGTAAAATTCTTTCCATTTCGTGAAAAAAAGACTTTTTGTCGCCTAGCATCGAAGCCAACTTCAAGGGTCTTAATTTTTTATGTCTCTGAAGTTAGCGTCGACGCTTAGCGTCTAAACTATTATTATTCAAAGTTCATAGTTCATTTTTTAACCTAAAATCTGCCAAAAAAATTGATTCTCTCAATTCAGCAAATAAATATGTTTTGTTTGCCAACTTCAGAGACGAAAAATTACTTAAACAAAAATGGTAAATTTTACTCCGGACATAGTAAAAATTAAAATTCTAAAATTCGCAAAAATTCCTAACACGATTTCACTATAAAAGTAGTAAAAGTTACATTTTTTTTTCTATTAAAATAAAACTTTTCATTTTCCGGACTAAAATTAACGACATAATAAATTACTCTCACAGAATTCTAATTAACTTGGGAATAAGTAGGTAATATTATTAAATTAAACTTTTAAGCAAATTTTAATTAACTTCTTCAATAAACTTTATTACTCGACAGTAAAAATGTCTGCGAATGTTATATTTTAATTAAGTTGAGTATAAAAAATAAGAATAGCGAAAATATCTAGAAAAGTACAAGAATATTTTTTATAACCAAATCTACGATTGACAAAATGTTATCGACATAATTTAACTGAATAAATTTTTTATCAAAACGAAAAAAATTTTCCAAACAAATTTAATTTCCACAACCAGAATAAAAAATCATGAATAAATCAAAATTTTCTTACATAATAAATTAATAATAACCTTCAAAGTTTAAAATTTTCCTTTTTTTTGAAAGTTAAAATTTGATTTTTTAATTTGACAAAACGTGAAAGTTTTGAAAAAATTTCAAAAGTGTTGAAAAATTTCTTTCAATTAGAAACTTCCTGTTTTAATTATTTGATACGGATTTTTTTTTTCTTCTTCTTTATTTTACAATAATGAAGAATTTCAAAGAGAGCAGAAAGTTTAATATGCGCTGTATATATAAAGGAATACGAAAAGCATGATGAGCGAGAATAGAATACGTGTAATTAGATTAAATTACACGCGTGTTTTAATTTTCTTCACATGAAAGAATAAATAATTTCCACAAACGTGTTTGAGAGATGCGAGCGCGCAAAATACGTGCGAGTTCAAAAGTTAAAATACTGAAAGTGTACAGCTATATTATCATTTCATATGAATGAAAACTTGTCATGATTTTCATTTCGTATAATTAATTAAAACGACAAACATAAACTCACATCAAAAAGAAGAAAATCATAACATTAAATTAAATTAATGATAAATGTTTGAAATTGAAGATAAATGCTATACTGCGCGTTGGAAAATAAAAATAATTATGCAGAGACACATAAATAATTACAAAGAGAGAATAATAATTTTAAATAAAAAATTTTTGTGTATAAAAAAAAGTTTTACGCGGAGAAAAAAATTATCTTTTATTAAAATTGGAGATTTCATAATTTTCTTTTTTTAACAAAAAATTATGAAATCTCCAATTTTAATAAAAGATAATTTTTCTCAATTAAAATTAAAATTTAAAACTTTTTTTTTAATTTATTCTCTTATCAAAATTGGCAAAAATATTTTTTTTTTCCCCTTTTGTAGAAAGTATAATTGTTCGTTTGAGGATTCTTTTGCGAAGAATTAAAAAAAAACACAATAAATAAGATTTTAATGAGGAACGGAACACTTTAAATTCCGGTTTCTATTATAAGACGGAAGAGTTATAAGGATGCAATTACTTTTATTTGCAGTTGCTCTAAACTAGGAAAGATAATGGCTTGATTTCCCTTTAACGATAGTTATAAGTCCTTTGAGCTATAGAGATAAAAGAATGAAATACGCGTTTAAAAGTGACTGGAAGATTAACGTTCTCACACACAATTAGAGTGTTTCAATTCATTATTCGAGAAAAATAAAGAAATAAAAAAAAATTAAAAAAAGAGAAATAAATGAAAAAATAAAAAAAAAGAACGAAATTAAAAAAAAAGAAAACAAAAAAATAAATAAAAAACGAAAGAAAACAAAGAAAGAAATAACATAAGAAAGAAATTTAAAAAAGAAAGAAATAAGAATAGAAAAGAAAGAAATAAAAAAAATCTAGTTACGAAATTCAAAAAAAAGAAAAAAAATCATTTAATTGGCATGAAAATAGTCTTATGGGATTTAAAATTTAATAAAGTTTGTTACACCGACTTTAATTGGGTACAAAAGAGCGTGAAATTAGAAAAGAATGAAAAGAATGAAAAATTTCAAAAAGCTCTTACGTTATAAAAAAAAAACAGTCTATCTGTCACAACAACAAAATTTCCTTTAGTTACGTTGCCCAATATCATAAATTTACTCTTCGTTATTCACATACCGGACGGATATAGTAGAATGTTTTAAGTCACGTAGTCAAAATAAAGAAGGCGTGTACCTATATACGTAACACGGTATTTGTATATATATATATATTTCACTAATTAACATGATCAACACTTTTTTAATACATCCCACTTTATTATACTATTATAATTAACATACTTTTCGAAATTTCATATTCAGGCAAAATTTTTTTAAATAATTTATATGCAAAATTTACAATAATATATAATTTTCATAAAATTTCTCAAAAGAATTGAATTATTTTTAAATAATTATTAATCAAATTTTCCAAAGGACTTTAATTTTTCTTCGAAAGAATTTCATCGAAATAATTCAATTATTTTCAAAGTTTAAATAAATTTCTTCGCGAGAATTCAATTATTTTAGAATTTTCTTAAAACTTTTTCAAATTCAATTACTGTTTCGAATTCAATTATTATCAAAAAATTCTTTAGAAGAATTGAATTATTTTCAATATAATTTTAAAAAGTTTCTTAAAAGAATTTATAATTATTTATCAATTTTTTTTAAATTTGTAAAAAAAACTCAATAATTATTATTCAAATATTTTCAAAACGATTTTAATTTAATTTTACGAAAGGATTTAATTTTTCTTCGAAAAAATTCAATTATTTTCAAAATTTAAATAAATTTCTCCGCAAGAATTCAATTATTTTAAAATTTTCTTAAAACTTTTTCAAATTCAATTATTATTTCTAATTCAATTATTATTAAGAAATTCTTAAGAAAACTTGAATTATTTTCAATACAATTTCCATTTTAATTTATCGAAAGAATTGAATTTTTGTTCCGAAACAGTTTCTTCAAAATTTAATTCAATTAATTAAAAAATTTTAATAAAATTCTTCAATTATTTTCAAAAATGATAGAATTTATCTGAGGAAGTGAATTATTTTCAATATAATTTTAAAAAGTTTCTTTAAAAGAATTGAATTATTTATCAATTTTTTTTTTAAATTCGTACAAAAAACTCAATTATTATCAAAAATTCTTTATAAGCAGAATTCAAATATTTTCAAAACGATTTTAACTTAATTTTACAAAAGGATTTACTTTTTCTTCGAAAAAATTCAATTATTTTCAAAATTTAAATAAATTTCTCCGCAAGAATTCTATTATTTTAAAATTTTCTTAAAACTTTTTCAAATTCAATTACTTTTTCGAATTCAATTATTATCAAAAATTCTTTAGAAGAATTGAATTATTTTCAATATAATTTTAAAAAGTTTCTTAAAAGTATTTAATTATTTATCAATTTTTTTTAAATTTGTAAAAAAACTCAATATAATTATTATTCAAATAGTTTCAACACAATTTTAATTTAATTTTCCGAAAGGATTTAATTTTTCTTCGAAAAAATTCAATTATTTCGCAAAATTTCAATAAAATTCTTTGTTAAAATTCAATTTTTTTTCAAAAATTCTCTATAAGAATTCAATTATTTACAATAAAATTTCAATTTCAATTCATCGAGAAATTTTATTAAAATTGTATTAAATGGTATTTGAATTTTGCTAAAGAATTATATGAAAAATTTTTGAAAAATAATTGATTTCTTTTGAAATTTTTTTAATGAAAATTTTATTACTTATGAACGTAATTGAATTTTTGCTAATTTGTTGATTAAATATTTTTTTTTAAATTATTTGAATTCTTTTGAGAAACTTTATCAAGATAGTAGATATTGAAAATAATTGAATTTCAGCGAAAAATTTTATTATTTATGAAAATAATTGAATTCTTATGAAAAATTTTCTTAAAACTTTTGAAAATATGTAGTTGATTTCTTTCGAAATTTTTTTTAATATGAAAATTTTATTACTTATTTTTAAACCATTGAATTCTTTTGAGAAACTTTATTATAATTAGTAAATATTGAAAATAATTGAATTTCATCGAAAAATTTCATTATTTGCGAAAATAATAAATTGAATTCTTACGAAAAATTTTCTTAACACTTTTGAAAATAGTTGAATTGTTTCAAATATTTTTATTAAAATTTTTTGAATTGTTTCTAGGAAATTGAAAACAATTGAAATGCAGGGAGAAATTTCATTATTTGCGAAAATAATAAATTGAATTCTTACAAAAAATTTTCTTAAAACTTTTGAAAATAGTTGAATTGTTTCAAATATTTATTTATTAAAATTTTTTGAATTGTTTCTAGGAAATTTATGAAAATAAAATAATTTTTTATTTCAAGTATCAGCTAATTTAAAGTAGTGTAAATTCTCAAAAAAAATTAAAAAAAAGCTTTTCGCTAAATTATGCTTTGCTTAGGTCTCATTTTTCGCCTAGATTTAAAAGATTTTATTGTTCTAAAAAGAAAAAATAATTATATATTTTAGAAAATAAATCACTATTTGCAGATAATAGATAACAGACTGGACTGACAATTTTAACTATAGTATTGTAATAATTAAATATTGTTTAGCAATAACAATAGACATTCCTCGTAATTATCACTCAGGACATTGATTCATATATACGCACTGTAATTACAAAGTTGTAGTTTTCCTTCGAATTTTTTCCTAAACTTGATATAAAACAAGAAAGAAAAATTTGCCCCCAAGTGTAGTAGCAGATTTTGATGAATAGTTATTAAAAAAATGTTTATTTATCTCTGAAAACGATCTACGTGAATATCTCCGTTTCCGGTGTATGAGGATTTCTACCTTGAGGGAAGTTTCTACTAACGCCTATATTACCAAGAGGCGTCAAATTCTTAGCGCCTAGCCTAGAATTGATTTTTGAAACTCACACTTTCTGTATATATCCGTAACTTATACCTATATATATATGAAAATATTATCTGTTAACTTTTGCGATTTCTCTTTGCAATCGTCTGGGAAATCACAGTGGGATACATTTTTTTTTTTTGCTATTATTTTTAACTGTAACTTTTAGACTTTAAATTAATTTGAGATTAGACTTTTGATTTGAACGATTGTAGTCTCAAAAGTCTATAAAAAAAATACAATTATGAATTTTTTGTTTGTTATAATAATCTCTCTAGTTTTAATTAATGCAAATGCTGATACGCTATCGTGTGAATATAATTAGCTAAAAATTGTTTATTGAAGGGGAAAAAATGTAATTATAAATGTTTATAGATTTGAGATCGAGATTGAGATATTATAATATGATGATAGTGTATTTTCGTTATTCTTCCGGTCTGTCTGGTTTTTGTTTTCTTAGCTTGTCTCTATTTTTGCGGTAGTGAGAGAGAAGTTTTTATGTTTTGTCGGTGCATATTGACACACAATTTCACTGCATCCCATAT